TGCTAAAGGGTGTCCTAGAGGGGAAGCATCGGCTTTTGGCCAGAAAACTAGGTCAAAAGGTCAAGCTTGCAAAAGCGAATGCTTTAGGCGTACTGTAGCATGTGAAAATGTAGCCTTATCTTAAGGCAAAACTACAATAATTATAGAATTCTATTTTACCTAACCTATACCTAAAAAACACAGCAACATCACCCCCGCAACTCCCCAAACCGGAATATTTCCGGCGCGGCCACCCTAAGAAAAGCCGGTCGTAAAAAAAGCGGAAGATAGATGCGCTTCGGGAGGTGACTGGTGTTATGTGAGAAGATGGATGGAAGGAGGGGGGAAGGGCTTAGGTTGAAGCCCTCCACCCCTAGGGGTGGTGTTCCACAAAATAAAAGGAAGGGTGATTAGTGGACAGGAGCGTGGCGGGTGAAATGGGAGAAAGAATGGAGCTTCATTAGGTATTACGGAAATGGGGAGGGTGAATATGAATTTATTCAAAATTCCGGTGGTAAGGTAGAGTAATCAGAATCCCCGTCGACATCGGCGTAAAATTTGTCTATTTAACGTAAGACTCGTAACCTTTGCGAATAAGGAGAAAAACTAAAAAAATGTAAAATGGTTTGGTGTTTTAGTCCATGGTAATCAACGTCTTAAAGCGCTAAAAAACCGGAAACCGCATGAATAAATCAAGAAACAACCGCTTGAAAATGTAAGCCAAGTTATTCGTGCAAAAAAAGCTAAATAAAATTATATTAATAAAAACAAAATTTGAGTTAGATTTCGTTGATTGTAAATAAATGGAAAAGCTGTGTATATACAGGGTGTCCCAAAAAAAAACCCCCCCTCGGCATTTGGCCGTCTTCTATCGGATCGGGGCCAAATTTTTACCAGAGATGGGGACCCATAAAAACTATGTGCAGCCAAATTTTCTAAGCAAAATATTGTAAAACCAAAAAGTTATCGCTAAAAAACTGATTTTTGGAAAAAGCTGGTGCTCGTTTTTGGCTATGTTTTCGCAATTAGCATGCGGATTTTGAGTAATTTTCCAAAAAATGGTCATTTCTCAGCCAGTTTCTGGCAATTTCGATATTAAAAAGTGATCGAAAGGCCCAATTTAAACGTAATTTTTGTAAATCAAAAAATTTCTACAGGTAGAAAAGAGCGCCCTCTTCATTTTTGCTAAACATTTCGAGGCCGAAATCCGTCAAAATCCTAGTGAAATCGGCAAAATTAACCTTAATTTTGATATATCTTCTGTTTTACAATATTTTGCTTGAAAATTCGGCTGACATAGTTTTTTGCGTCCCCATCACTGGTAAAATTTGGTCCCGATTGATGGTAGACGGCCAAATGCCGCGGGGGGGTTTTTTTTTGGGACACCCTGTATAGCTTATAAAAACAAAGTTATTTTGCAAGAAGAAACGAGAAACGCAGGATTCAGTAAAGTCTCAGCGTTTTTCTTAGAAGTTTCTTAACAAATTGAACCCAGCACAAGGAATGTCGAAATTGTGAGCTTCATCCCAAAAGTCCAGATAGTAAAGGAAGCTTCTAAGAATAAGCTTAGCAGAATAAATAAGCAGAAAAACGAGCCTGCAAGATCGAAAGGGCAGTATTTGGTCACTTTCTTGAGAAATCCAACCCAGCATTTTCAAAATCGTAGGCTTCCTGCGAAAATCCCGGCTGCCAAACGATGCTTTTAAGAATATGCCCGGAATCTGAATGGGCCGCAGAAAATTGGGGGGTTTTAAGGTAGATGGCGGTGGTTGAAGATGTGTGTGTATGTGTGTGTGTGTGGGGTAGTTGGGGGGTTGTGTGTCGGGAGAGTTGTTAGGGCGTCGTCGTCCAGGCGGTGGGCCCTTTCTAGGAGGCCAAAGGGGGGGCCCAACCATCGATTCGGCGGCTTGTAGCTGAAAAGCTTTGGCGCCCTTCTGGAGCACCGGACGGACGGGGAGGAGGAGGACGGGGTTGTGAATGCCTGCAGCTATAGAAGCTGGGCACTAGGTTGAGTGGAAGGATTATCGCTAATTTTTGTGAATTTTGGGTACTGGTGTGTTAGCAGGGGGAGCTAATTTTTTCCGTCTGTTGATAAAATGCACCGTCTTTATTGTCGTTTAATATTTTTTATGGCTAGAACGTTTTCAAAAATATCTTAAATTTTTCTGAAAGTTTGAAAATTTTTATAATTTTTATGAGCTTTTTACCACTAAAACCGTGTAAACTCGCAATTAGCGTACGTATCTCGAACAATTTACCAAAAGTTGTTTATTTTCGCTTCCGTTTCTGCCGATTTTAATAATAAAAATTGATTAAAAACTCCGATTGCAATGATATTTTCCTAAAGCTAAAAGATTAGACCCAGCAAATCCACTTCCGGGGCATCGTGCCGTATCTAGAGCCTCAAGAAACCGTTTTTGGAGCGGGAGAAACGTCATTAGGTGTAGAATGTGCCGGAATCGAGTGCCAACATATCAGGATTTTTAGAAAAATAGGATTTTAGCTATTAAAATTACGGTTATTGTAAACCAGTGGAAAATGACCGCTTCGCGGCCCTTTTCCACTGGCCCCCGTCTAGGAGCCATATATTCCCCTTTCGTTTTTCAAGCCTGCGGCGCAAGAGCCAGACTCTAGAAGCCATTCTCTGGCCTGCGGCGCTGGCTGCTGGTTTTTCTCCTGCATCTGGCCTGCGGCGCTAGAGCCCGGGCCAAGGACCTTTTCTTTGGCCTGCGGCGCTAGAGCGAGAGCCAGGCCTATACTTCGCACACCGAGAGCCTAGAATTATGTTCTGTTGATGAACCACCAAAAAGCAAAAAGTTATGTTTCGCCAGGATTCGAACCCTCGACTATGTGTGTGCTAGGCCGGGCGTAAGCCACTATACCAAAGGGGCCATGGCGACGGGCGGCGGGAAAGGCCTCTTCTGTCCTGGGGGCGGGGGTTCACCCCGGGAATGAGGACTTGTGATAGCTTTACAAAATTCTCTTTTTGAGTCTGAATGCGCCAAAAATTTGTAAAACTAATAAGATGCGCGTGATCCCCACTATCGAATACATAAGTGGTCCAACTTTCAGTCCGAAATTCCATCAGGGCTTCGAGTTATGGCCCGGACACCACGGCTCGTCGCCCTTATTGATAAGGATTTTCACCATTTTATTTGTATAATCGTTAAATCAAGGAATTTCGAAAAACAAAAAGATGCGTTTCTGGCAAATGTGTTTCTCCACCTCCATGCCAAAAATCAGCCGGAAATTCGGCCTGACGGCCGAGAAATCGGCTGCACAGAAAACACACATACTTTTCTCGCTTTTAGGATAGGAAATTAGCATGAGCCACCTCTAGAAAACTAGCTCAAACAAGCAATTCCATGCGAAAATAAAGAAATACAAGAACAATTCTGCTAAATGAACCCCTTACGACACAATTAAAAAAACTGAAAAAGTCCAAGGCGACGTGTGAAGAGGTGCAATTCGGACACGAGTTTGCATGTGTGCCTGTCTGTCCGTGTGCCATCCGTCTTTTCTATTCGGCGCCCTCCTCTCTCCACTATAACTCGATTCGCGCACCTCAAGACTTGGGCCTTCGGGCCTTTCAGCGAGCGCCTCGGGGCTGCTCCTTCAAAACGTCGCCCGGCTGGCCCATTCAATGGCTCCAGACCTCCCAGGGCCTCAAATCGCACCCCACGGCTTTTCGTGAAAATCGCCTTTTCAAGAACCCCTTCACCGCCCTTTTCAAGCCGTAGATTCTGGGCTCTGGGGTCGTAAGCCGCTCGAAAATTGCCTCCTTTCATCGGCGGGGCCAACCCGGGGTGGGGACCGAGAAGATTGCTCTTCAAAGTATACCTCAAATATACTTCAAAATGCCCTTAGAAAAGAAGGAAGTACGGTAACTTCGATTTTTGCGAAAAACGGGACGGAGTTCGGAAATAAATAGTGTTTCTAAGCTGCCGAAAGGGAGGTTTAGAGTATACGAGTCGAAAATGGATGTTTTCAGGTATGGTAATGGTAATGAACCTTAGATAGCAGTACGGCTAGCTAAAACTTTAAAAAACTAGATTTTCGATACGAAAAAAGTTATTCTGCTCAAAAAGGCAGATCCTGTTTGTTAATAAATATTTGCATCCAATGGCATTGGCGCAGGATTTTCATTTTTGCAATGTATGCTAATTTGACACAACTTTTCAAGGTTTTAAAGATGTTTGATATGCAAATTCCGTGTTATTATCGCTGCCAAACACCGCGAAACCCCGCGAAGCGGTTTTTATACCTTGGTGGCTCCCTGAAAGTCCAGCGATTATGGTAGTAACATTTACTTTGTAAAATTTGTATTTAACCGGTGAGAAGACCAACTCTACGGTTTTTAAAATTATTACACAAAGTGCGCAAAATCGCGAAACCTCTGGTATTGAAATTTATCATCCACCAATATTTGAAATGCGTCTTACCAGATGCAAAATCCCCACCATTCCAATTCCCGAAAGCACCGTCGTGCCAACCAGAAGCCCCTGTACCACACGGATTTTCCTGTTTACAGTATCCCCGACCCCCTCGTGAGATACAGCTTTTATCCGCGCCTTGACCACTTTCCCCCAAAAATATTTAATCTCCACCTGCCTGGGGAGAAGTTCAGCTGGTGTCCAGCGGTGCTCAACTGTGGTTGTAAAACGGAAAATTGGGGGGATGGGGAAAAATTTGAAAAGATGTAAATTAGGATTTAAGGTATTTATTCAAATTTCAGGTATTTCAGATAACGTCTTTAAAATCTCGATGTAAAATACAACATAAAAAATTTGAAGTAAATCAACTCAAATTAAAAAGTTATTTTCAATTTTAAAAAAGTGAGCATTCATAATCAATATGTAAGCAAATCAGATGCAAATAAAAAATCAGGGTCATAGAAAAAGAAACATATGAATAAAGCACGATTTGTTTTTTGAGCGATAAAAACATCCTTAATGCAAAAACAATATTTGTTAGACATAAAATAAAATTCCAGGTTTTCAAATGTTTAAAATTGATAATTAGGCAAAAAAATAGAATTTAATCTCCTGCGAACCTCTTAAATGAGTGCCTTCTTTCTTGTAGCTCAATGTCGTGATGCCATGCATAGGGTCGACACCATATGATGCTGTTCCATCTTCAATTTTCGTACACGATTCGCAAAATATTGGTCCCCATTTACGGACGATAGCCAAGCAATGAAAATCTTCTTCCGTGACGAGTTCTTCGCCAATCTTCTTTTTCAATGTATCAGCAATCTGTGTCACGTTTTCTGCGTCCCATAGCTGACTGAAATTCCCATTTTTTTTGCAGCTTTCTAAGAATGAACCTACCCCATTTCAGACCCAATGGTGGAATTCAGACTTACGACAACCTTCCACAATTTAGCGATTCTCTTAAACGCAGTATCTAAAAGTATATTGGGGGGAAACGTAGCAGTCCGCAGCAAGCGTCCTGATTATTAGTATACGATCCTAGAGCTGTTGAAAACCGAAAAACGAGCGTTTTTTGTTTTCAAAGAAATTTTTAATTTGCTCGATATGCACGTTTTCTTAAAGACGATTAAAGTGCTAGAATGCCGCAAAAATCGCTTTTCAGGGTTTTTGGCCATAAGCAAACCGGGATTAATAATTTATATCTAAAAAATAGTGTCTGTGTGTGTGTGTGTGTGTGTGTGTGTGTGTGTGTGTGTGTGTGTGTGTGTGTGTGTGTGTGTGTGTGTGTGTGTGTGTGTGTGTGTGTGTGTGTGTGTGTGTGTGTGTGTGTGTGTGTGTGTGTGTGTGTGTGTGTGTGTGTTGTGTGTGTTGTGTGTGTGTGTTTGTGTGTGTGTTTTTGTTTTTTTTTGTTTTTTGTTTGTGTGTTGTTGTTGTTGTGTGTGTGTTGTGTGTGTGTGTTGTGTGTGTGTTTTGTTGTTGTTGTTGTGTTTGTTGTGTGTGTGTGTTGTGTGTGTGTGTGTGTGTGTGTGTTTGTGTGTGTGTGTGTGTGTGTGTGTGTGTGTGTGTGTGTGTGTGTGTGTGTGTGTGTGTGTGTGTGTGTGTTTTTGTTGTTTTTGTTGTGTTGTTTTTTTTGTTCCACTTTGCATGCAACTTCCGTCAGCGTGTTCCAGTAGTATCTCAATAAAGGGGGTAGTTAGGGGTATGTTTTCTACCTCATTAGGTGCATAATGGCCTTCCGATGACTGCACACTCATAAAATTTTCAAAAATTAGCTGTTTGCTACGTTAAAATTAAGTCTTTGTTGAAAAATCGAGAACCCTCTTTGTTAGGAAACAATTAGCATAGACCGGAAATCACGGTGGCCTATATAAGGGAAGAGAGACAGCGTTTCTCATTTTTTGTCATCGAAAATCGCGAGAATTATGCAAAGTGAAGACTATCATGGGATCAGACGGAGCCAGGGTTGAAAAGTCGCGAAGCGAAGCTAATTTATAAAAAATTTTCACGTTTTTCAGCGGTTTACGATTCATATTTAAAACAACATCGGACACTTACTGGACTTGCTGAAAACCTCATGACGCGGTTTATAGGCAAGAGGTATCCTCCCGATGATTGTATCAAAACCCAATATTCCCTTATTTTGAGAACAATAGTCGCTGGTGCTCTCAAAATAGTGTTCGTATCCATCTTCAGAAGCTTTAACGACAAGCACGGAGTAGACATGATTAAAAATCCTATCCTATAAGCGAAAAAAGTATGTGTGTTTTCTGTACGGCCGTTTTCTCGGCCGTCAGGCCGCGTTTCGAGCTGATTTTTGGCATGGAGGTGGGAAATGTCACTCATAAAAAACGGTTTTTCGGATTTTTTGAAATTCTTTGATTTAACGATTTTACAAGCAAAAATGTGGAAAATCCTTAACATTTTTGGGTACGCACGTTGTCCGGAACTTTTCTCGGCCCCTAGAGGGAATTGGGGTCTCATTTTTGGAGGGTAGATGGGAAAAGTAATTCCCCAGATACATCTTTTCGGATTTGGCAAAAATCTTTAAAATAAAGTTTTTATGTGGATTTTCTGAAAGGTCCTTAATAAATCGCGGAACGGACCGTGGTGTCCAGGCCATAACTCGAAGCCCTGATGGAGTTCCGGTCTGAAATTTGGGCCGTGTATGCAATCAAGGGTGGGGATCATGCGCATCTTATTATCTTTGCAAATTTTCCACAGATTCAAACTAAAAAATAGAATTTTGTAAAGTGACCAGAAGGCCTCCCTCCGGGATCCTTGGTCACCCTTATCTTTACCCCCGCCTCCCCATGACAGAACAGGCCTTTCCCGCCGCCTCCTCCCATGTCCTCCTTGGTGTAGTGGATTAGCTCTCGGCCTACCACGCGCAGGGTCGCGAGTTCGGATCCTGGGGGAATTTCCTTTTTTGCTTTTGGTAGTTCGGCAACAAAACATATAGCTAGGGTCTCGGTACGCAAGATTTAGGTCTGGCTCTCGCTCTAGCGCCGCAGGCCAAAGAAAAGGCCCCTGGCTCGGGCTCTCGCGCCGCAGGCCAGATCCTGGAGAAAAACCAGTAGCTAGCGCCGCAGGCTCAAAGATTCTAGCGCAACGCTGGCTCTAGCGCCGCAGGCCAAAGAATGGCTCCTTGGCTCAGGTTCTAGCGGCGCAGGCTAAAAAAAAGAGGGTATTCAAATTCATGGTTCCTGGACGTGGTCCAGTGGAAAATGGCCGCGAAGCGGTCTTTTTCCACTGGTCTTAGATTAATCGATTCATCGCTGGCAAGGAGAGGTTTTTGAGTTTTTGAGTGACATCCCAGTTTTGAGCAGGACCAAGCAAAATATTGCGCTGATTCTGAATCTGTTTTGAAAAGTTACTAATCCACATAGATGATACAAAAAATAAACGAAGCTTTGATCGATAGTAATTCAGACCTGCGTAGTCCTAACGCGGGGAATTCGGCCTCCGCGCCCCAAGCTACGCTATCCAAGGCACCATTTTTACGAATTCGTTCTGGTTTTAACACCTCCATAATCCTGTCTTTCAGAATCTGATTATGCGCCGCTGGCCACGCTGATTTCTGAAAAAAAATTGGAATTAGCTGTAAAGCCTTTTTTTTAGTCTCGTTGAAACATTAACTTACAAGCGATTGAAGGACCCAACTCACTGTCCTCGATGATATTAGAGAACCGTTTTCAACAATTCGTTGAGTATATTTTTCGATGGCTTCGACATCATCGTCAAAAATTGCATTAGCACAAATCCCGCCGATAAATGTCTGAAATTCAGGTTCTTTAAGATTCGCAGGGGGGAAGCAAGTATGCCCGGGGGGACCAATTTTTTCCTTGCCGGTCCCGGTTGACCTACTAATCAAATATAAAGGGTTTTCACATTGTTTTTAGTAAGTTTTAGCCATATTTAAAGCAGAAAAACTTTCAAAAAGTTATAAAAATGTTTGAAAAATTCGAACATTTGGTCATTTTGGGTGCCCCCCCGCGATTTCTAAAGGATTTTGCAATCTAAAATTAAATTTTTGGATTAAAATTTGTGTAGTTTTTATGCTTAGGAATAATTAAAAACAATTTAGCAACGCATCTGATATTTATAAAAAGAAATTAGGCTTGCGACGAAAAAAATTGGTCGCCCCGGGAATCCTTGCTCCCCCCCGCGAAGCCTAAAGCACTCGCATTTTAAGTTATGAAAAAAGATTTTACCACATCAACCAACTGTCTTCTCAGCCCCATATCAAATGCTTCAAAGTATTGATATCGGAAGAATGAAATATCAATCATTCCGCGGAGAAGACAGCTAAAGTATTTAGGATGGCTTTTTTTTCTTTTATAATAAAACGCAGTAGACTCTCTATTTTCAAGTTTTTGAAAGAATGCTTAGATGGCTTCTTTGTAGCTTGCAAAAAAAGCGAGAGAAGCCGTTAACGTCTTTTTTTACAAGTTCTTTCCTGTTCATCAAATATGCTCGATGGCCCACTATTTCCTGAGCTTCCGCTTGTGTGACGGGATCTTTGCACTTTTCGACCAATCGTTCATTCAGATACTAAGAATTTTTGAAGTATTTGGTACATTTTAAACACCTACGTCCAATATCGATTCGAGCGATCTAAAATCCTATTTTTATTATGCAAATCAGATAATAAGTAATAGTTAAGCATAGCACAACACAAAAACAACTTACTTTTCTCCAAACTTGCACGCGGTCTTAAATTCGGTGAGGAATTCATCAGTTCTATTGAACTCCGGGTTGATGTAGTCGTCCGTGAGATTTTTCATAATTTTAAGCGGAATTGTCACTTTCTGGAATCGAATTTCAATATTTCGTTTTTTTTTAACTGATCAGTCTTACCTCCACGTAATCTTCCCACAGTTTCCCTTCAATTGCGGCTGTGGAAACGTTAATCATTATTTCGAGATCTTCCCATATTGCCCCTGTCCGATTTTTAAGATCCATTAGTGCATCATAGTTCTCGCTTGGCAGCTAAATGCGAATTTTTATTGATACGGTGTAAGCTACGGTTTCATATTATAGTTTAACTCGTAAATGATATTTCCCACCTTTGACTTTCCGGTAGCCATCGCACCAATAGGAATAACAGCTTTCATCAATGAAGCAAGCTGGGGGCCTACCGAATTTGTGCCCAAGTAATCGTCGTAAAAGCCATCTGCCCCGCTTAAGGCTTTAACAGCGGCATCAACAATCTCTGCTGTAAAGGTATGGAGTAATTATGATAACCTTTGCACGAGTACCTCCAGGTCTGGCGTATAATTCATACCTGTTTCATTGGAAGCTCTGGCGTAAGGTAAAAATAAAGTCATGGAGAGCAGGATTGCAGGAACCAGCATATTGGCTGAATTGACCAGGTTTGGTTAGTAAAAAGCATAGCTGGGGAAAGCTTGAAGAGCGCAAGTGAGAGAGAGAGAGGCGAGAGAGAACGAGGGAGTGAGAGCGAGAGATAGAGAGAGAACGAGAGATAGAGCGAGAGAGAGAGATAGCGAGGGAGAGCGAGAGAGCGAGAGAGATAGCGAGAGAGAGAACGAGAGAGAGAGCGAGAGAGAGATAGAGAGAGTGAGATAACGAGAGAGGGAGAGAAAGAGAGAGTGAGAAAGAGATATCAAGTTACCTGATTAATTTCTAAAAGTCTGTGTTAAAAAAAACAAAGGAAACGAAGGTTTATAGCTATGCTAATGCATTTATGAGGGTTATGACCTGTGCGGAAAGCGAGGAAAACGACACTTAGAAACAAATAGAATGGTGCCTAAGGCGTTAGCAACAGCTGGCTCGGCCGACTCAGTGTAATAAGTGTTGCCACGCACAATTTTAGCAAGGATTGAATATCTTTATTCAAATGAGATCACAAAAACATTGGAATAACAGTGATTAGGACATATGGGTTCCTTTTAAATCCTTGATTCACGCGAAAAGTTTTAAAGTAAAAAAAGCATATTTGCGCAAATTAAGTTTTGACAAGCTGTCAAAAATCTCAACGAGAAGTTAATTCAGATCCAAAAGTAAATTTTGATGGTATGCTACGGCTGTCCATTTCATCGTTTTAGCCAAACGAGAACATTTGCTGGTTGATCCCCCTCATGTTCAGCTTCACCTCACCGTCGATGCCTATACCGTTCCGGAAATAGGCACCCCTGGAAAGTTAGAATAAACAAAATTTACGTCTGGGTAGATTATGCAAATTCTTCATATTTAACCCTCAAAAACCATATCTTAAAACTCACATAGGTCCCGCCTGGAACGCTCGCTGCATATCCCTGTTCAACCCGAATTTGTAGTCCCAATTTCGACCCCATCTAAAATAATGATTTTCTGGTATTTATAAATTAAACTTGTGTATTTTTATAGTTCTTTTTATTTTTTAGAGTTTTTTGATTGCGAGCTTTTCAGGAGATATGGTAAAGGCGGTGCACTATATAATCCCGGGTGGCAGGTGGCCAGGACGCCGATCTACCGTTTAAGCCGAAGAGCGTGCGGTGCTTTAATGACACAGTAATTATATGCCCGCGTCATTTAAGATTTCTAGTAGTTTCAATTATTTATTTAAGCCAGATATTCGAAACGTAATTTAAATTTAACAACGAAAGATAAAATCTGATGCAAAACCGCGTCAAAAACTTTTACTTTTAAAATATATCTAAAAGTTTTTTAATAATTACAATTTGGGCATAATACAATCAAATTTCAAGAAAATCTATAATTTTTAATATATGATTTGGAATAAAGAGCTTTCAGTAAAAATATCGATAAAAATTAGTAAGACAAAACAACAAAACTTACGCATTATTCTGGCCCCACATTTGCCGTTTTTCACGCCTAAAAAGAATATAACCTTATTTTTGTTCTTATTTAAAATACCTGTTAATTTCCTCGTTTTCGCTTTTTATCGGCAAGGCTACTGTCTCACATATAAGAACCGCCAAAATAACACAGACAAAAATGCGCGCCATTCCGTCGAAAAAGTGATGGGATCAGCGGGGGTCGGAGTGGAAGTGTAACAGATTCGATGTCCCTGTTCCCTCCACAAAAATCCATTTATATAACTGAAGTCCTTATCATACTTGGGCAAACGACGTTGTATTGAAGGGGGGAACATTGGGCAAATTGGACCGTATCCCAGGAAATGGTGGATATGCGGGTGGATGAGTCACATCAACTCTTGGGAATGTCTATTCCCGAAATTACCGAAAATTTTGGGAATTGAAAATTTAGTGAAAAAATTACTGCAATATGGATATGGAAATTACAGCGTATTCTAACTCAAAAGTATTATAAGCGGAGAAAACCTTATAAAATCATGTTTTGCATGAAAACGGTCGAAACGCTTGCAGACTCAGTCGGATAAAAGTTAACTTTAAGAATTTTTCCGGTAACTTTTTTTATATGACATTATTTTGTACCGGTTTTAAAACTACCAGTATACTTTTTAAGGTATACGCTTACGCTTTTTAAGGTTTTGTAGCTTTTAAGTATACTGATTAAAAAGCTTCGCACATTTTTGACGCACTAGCGAAGGGAGTCGAGAAAACCCCGAAAAATCGCAAAAATCGACAATTTTGGAAGCCTCGGGCTGTGGGTGAGGGGGTACACGGCATCCGAGGGTTGATTTTCAGGAGGATTACGCCGTAAAACCTTGAATATAGGAGGATAAATTGACCAATGCAAATTCAAAAAAATCGAGCACTTCCTGAGGAAGCGGCGGAAATGTCACTTCGCTTAACTTAACTGCCATTTTTTTCCTCCCGCTTCACCTAAATTTTTTCACATTTTTTGCAATTTCACACCGGTATTTATTTTTTTGTGTTAGACCTCTATTTTAACTTTCACTTCGCTTTGTATCTATTTGCAAGCCCTCACCCTCAACCGGATTCGCGACTTTCCGAAGCCCACCAACAATTTAGACCACTTCTATGGATGGGCCCTCATTTGAGGCCCTACATTGGCCCCGGCGGGTTGGCCTTCTCCCCTCGTCCTTCCAATATATGCATCCATCCGTTCCCATCAATCGTGTCCGTTTTCTGTTTTTATTCGGCCTCTTGTTTTTGTGCATCGATGGGCGGTTCGGATCGATCGACGACCTCGGCGATGTGAATGACGCACCTTGTATTATGGTTTGCGCCGCTATTTCGTTGGTTTTTGGGGGTTAGACTAGATAGACGAATTTAATGCAATAGACTAAATTTTATTACATTTTGTTTTTGAATGGTAAACCACTGTTGGTGCTCCATTGCTCCAACAGTGGTTTGAATCTTCCAGAAAGACATCGACATGTTTCTCTCGTTATTTCAACAGCTATATAAATTTCAAGAAATTTTTTGTAAGGAAAACCTTAATAGCATTAAATTATTCGAACGCAGATTTTGATCAGTGGTATTCGGTGGTTTTTTTGAGGTGATTTATGTATTTTAATTGATTTTTTGATTTTTAGATTTTAAGAAGTTTTAAATCTATTAATGGGTTCATAAAATTTAAGGCACTATTTTTACGATTGTTTTAGAGAATTGGCGAATAGTCAGGAAGCTCAAAAATCCTAGAAAATCGCAGAAAAATACCATTTGTTTGGGAGGCTAGAATAAGAAGTGACGTCATTTTAATTTCTCTCAAAAAAGAGGGTTGCTTATCGTTAGCTAACCTGAGGTTTCTTACAATGTTAGCTAGCTGGGTGTTCTGAGGTAAACTACCAAATTATTTTTTAACGAAAACCTGAACTCCCAAATGGCGAAAAATACTAATTACTTGGCAGACGAAAATAAAGGGTGGCATCATTTTAATTTCTCTCAACAATAGGTTTTAAATATTACTGCATATGTTTATTTTACAATGTTCTGGAATATACAATATTGTTTTTATCCAAAACCCGACACCCGAATTCCTAAATGGCAAAAATTGGCAATTACCTAGGAGGCCTAATTACGCGGTGACGTCATTCTAATTTCTTCAGAACTCAGAGATCGTATGGTTCCACTAGCCCAATATTCTAGTAAAATTCTAAAAATATTTTATCAAAAACCAGACGCCCGACATCCCAAAATAACCTCCTTCACCCCGTCACCCTATGCAACATTTTTTGAATCTCTGCTGCCGCCCTCATTTGGCTCCCCCTGCTGGCGGCGGCCCTTTTGCAGCGTTTGTTTGTGTGTCTGCAGCTAGGGGGCGACCGTCGTGTCCGAAAATCGATCGGTTCCCAATCCCGAAAAGGGGCGTGTTTATCACGTGAGACCGGTTTCGGGCGCCCCCTGTCCATGCTAATGCCCTACGGGCAGCTCCTCGAAACGCACGGGCCTGTGCGGAGCGGCGCGTATTTTCCCGCACATAGAGAGCGAGAGAGAGAGAGGCAGAGAGGCAGAGAGGGGCGCCCCGTTCTCTCTCTAGGCCTGGCCCTTTTCCTCATCTCCTAGCCGTCCTCTCGCCGACTGACCCAACCAAGCACCGAACGCCCTTATTTCCTCCTTCTCCTCCTCATCTCCCCCCTCTAACTCACCTGGGCAATAAGCATTGATCTACTAACGATTTACAGCTCTACATCCGCGCACCGGAAGTCGGAGGCGGAACGTTATTAATGCTTTGACAACGCGGGTTCAGAAGGCTCCGGAAAGGTGGGTTCGATTTTTCGAACGAAGACCTAAATCATTAAGAACCATTGGTTTCTAAGACTTAAAAATTATATAGCTTTGTTCTAAGGATTAGTATACTTTCTATAGTTTATCTGCATAAAGGTTGGAGCTTTTAAAATTAGCAAGATTTTTATTTAATCCAGGTTTTTGTGCTTTGTAACGTTGTGGCACCAGATTACTTTGATTATTTGATCAAATTTTATGTGATCCATAATATTAAAAAAGCTTAAAGATTATCGAACTTTTTCCATCGATTAGCATACATTTTAGAGGTCGCTGCACACGTTTTGGGCGCATTTGGATTCAACTAGATTTGATTTACTCTTAACAGACTTTTTGTACTTTGTAGCGTAGAGACAGATTTCTTCGATTTATTTAATAAAACATCTGATACGATCAATAATCCCTCCTATTAATGCATAAACAACATAAAAACTGCATACCTTCCAGATGTTTCCAAATCAAAATGGCTTTCCACAAAACAGTCGCAGCCAACAAATCCCCACCGCCCAACAACAGCAGACGGCGGCGGTGATGAACATTTTACAACAAATGCAACAACAGCAGCAGCAGGTAAAATTAGATAGAATTTATAGATACAGAAATTAATAGCTTAAAAATTAGTATAAATAATTAAATTTAATTTTTCCACTGTGCATGACTACGCATTTTTTAGGGAAACCAAGCTCAAAACATGCCTCAAGCACAGCAGCTCACCGAGTTGATGCGTATGGCCCAACAACAGGTATTATAAAATTATTATTTTTCACAAAATCCCAATTCCCTAGGGATTACTTCCGGCGAACGCACAGCAGCAAGTGCAAAGATTACAGCAAGCAGCTGCTGCTCAGAGTTCCAATGGGAGTCGAAGGGGGATGACGCCGCAAATGCAGGTTCGTTCAAATTTTAGATCGCAATTTAGAATCTTAAACTATATTATTTACCCTCAATTTAATGCGCAAAGATTTCGATGACTACGTTACGTTACCATAGACACCTTGTGACAAAACATCTGCTCTAAAAATTTTTGATTTAAGAGCTTCAGATTTCAATTTACATGTCGACTGGTGGCATACCATCTATACCTTAAAAATCCCAAATTTAGATCCTTAATGATCACATTTTTGTTATTAAGGGACACTACCTTTGTCACAAACAACCGCGTTACCTTCAAAAAATCCGAAATTTGAATACTAATTATTTCGTTTGCATGACTATGCAAAAAATCATACTTACCTTGTCGCATAAAATTACAGCTTGAAAATCCCAGGTTTATACTTTTACTACCAGAATTTTTCAGAACCTCGATGCAATGCGTGCCCGCGCCATGTTCAACGAACAGTTCAACCAACCCGGCACTTCCGGCCAACAACCACGACGTTCCAACCAACAAATGATGACCAGCCAATCGAACGCTCATCAAATGGCCCAGCTTCACCCTGCTGTCAGAGGAGCCATGGCCTCGAGTGCGGCCCTGAAGGCCCAACTGGCTCAGCGCATGTCTGGGATGCAACCTTCGACTTCTGGGACCCAACAACAGCAACAGCAACGTCGCCAACATCCGGCAATGCTTCAGGCGCAGCCCCATCGTCGTGTCATGCCACCGGCACAGCAGCAGAATGTTTCACTCACGGTATAAAAACTAGAAAATTAAAAAATAAATTGTTCGTTTTAGCCGGATCAAGTTGGGTTGGTGCAGTCATCAAAGAAGATTGTACATCGTTGGCAAAGAGAGTTTGGCGGGAGGTAATTAATTTTCTACATATTTTAAAACACGTTAAATTCTGCCCTGCCGATACATTTAAAATAACAAAATCAAATTTAGTGCAACCGGCCTCAAAACAGCTCGCGAGACCCTAAACGCCAAGAAAAAGTCATTTTTCAACAAAGCATCAGCTGTAAAAATCTATGTTTTAAGCGAGGTTGGTTTTCAAATTACGATGTTTCATTTTTGTTTTTTTAGATCAGCCAAAAATTTGATACATTAATGATGGCGGCTGAAATGGATATCCAAAAACTGCTCGAACCCTCGACCCTAGTTTTGAATCAGCTCTCGGAAAAAGCGATGATGGCCCAAAAGGTATTTTGATTTTTATTAAGTATTTTTAAACCCTTTTTCAGTTGGAAGAATTCATCACCTACCTGGAGACCGGAAACGGAAAAATCAATCTGTCTGAGGCGCAGGCAACTTTAGATCGGATGCAAGCCCTCTATGATAATCTGGAGAATTCTGAGACTATGTTGAAGGATGTAAGTTGAAACTGAAAAATTGTGTATATCCCAAAATTCAGGGTCTCCGGTCTATGAATGAAGTAAACGACATTGATGTGGAGTTCCAGATGCATAATTTGGATTTTCTGTTGGATGCCGTAAGCTAGAGGATATTTAAGAGAATATAGAGGTTCAGATCGACATCACGAATTTCGGGTATCGTGCGGGGAAGCGGAGCGTTGATTTGGAGAAGAAGCCGATTGTTTTTGTTCCGACGCCTCCGCAAGTTAACCGGTTGAAGGTAAGTAAAATAGCAAAAATAACTTTTCCGCGAGGTATTTTAATTTAATATAATCATTTTAATATATTATTAATATTAAATATAATGTTAAAACATCCCTAAATTAAAGGTTACAACTTTATACCACATTTTATAGCTCTGGGATCAACTGGATTGGACTCATCTTCGACTCCGAGATACTGGAAATCTCCAGCTGAACCGCCCCTACCGAGACCTTGATCAAGCAATGGTCGGGGCTCTGTTCCACGCCTTCATGCGCTGGTATCCAAGCCCGCACCTTGCTGGTGATGAGGGTATCGACAAGACGAAGCCGCTGAAATGGGAGAATAGCCCCCGGAAACGTCGAGGTAGGCGTTACCCTCAATTCAATACATTCATCTCATTTTTTAGTGGAACCCCTCAAGGACAAAGTGTGTAAATGTGGAGCACGATTCCCGGATGGTAATTTAAAAACTATCGATTTAATTAACGCATGGTTTAGGTCCTGTTGTCTGGAAGAACGGAGTCGGAATCCGACGTCAAATCGTCCCGTCCGAAGAACACGAAACCGGACCAGAGGAGCAACCTATGGAAGTGCAACCGCAAGTCCACGCAGCTGAAGAAAACCAGCAATCAACAACTATTAACCCTGAATCGGTGGAGGTACCTGAGCAACAACCACCACCTGCAGCTGAACAACAAGTGATCGATCTCGACTCTTCCGGCTCAAATCATCCACCTGAGCAAGCTACTGTTCCACCGGCCGTGAATGGAACCACTTCAGAACCTCCCCCACCAGCCCCAGTAGAAAATGGAGTAAAACCGATCGAAACTGTCGTGGTATCGGATGATGATGACATTGAAGTCGTCCAAGTTATCCCCTCCAAAAGTCGATCGACCGATTCTACAGAAACCCCATCCACCTCAGAATCCTTTAACCAAAACGGTCACTCCCGCCCCGTTCCTCCACGCCCGAATTCCTATAACCAAAGCCAAATCCGGGCCGCATTGGCGAAAGTTGATGCCGCAAACGCTGAAGTCAACGAAAAATCACAGCGCCGCTTGGAAAATCTGGTACAGCAGATCAACGTTCACAAAAGACAAGAAGAAGAGGCCCGAGTCAGACTAACGGTACTTATCTTTTTGTTTGGGTAGATTTTGTTAGTCGGCTTCGAGGTATGGACTGTTAGCGGGGGCTTTCATATTTTTTGTAACTTTCTTGCAATCAAAAACTATTAAAAACCGTTTAAAAATACTTCTTATTGACAACTGGCAGAAAAAATAGAAGTTCGTCCCCCCGCTAACAGTCCAGTACCACTTTCGATTGGAAGCTTTTTATTAATTACACCCGGGAAATCCCATTGGTTTTCATAATCCTACTATATATAAAAAAATAGTGTCTGTGTGTGTGTGGTTTGTGTGTGTGCCACTTTCATCCACTTCCGTCTGTCCGGGGGATATCTCGATAGGGGATGAAGTTACGGGTATGTTTGATACGTCATTAGGTGCGCAATGGTCTTGAGATGACTGCACACATATCAAATTTTACAAAATCAACCATTTTCGACATTAAATTAAGTTTTGAAGCTCCTTTGTGGGATAATTAGCATGACCGGAAGTGGTGATTCGGCTATATAAAGGCACAGAAGAAGTTGTTTTTCATTGTTTGTCATCTGAATTCAGGACAATTATGTAAAGTGAAGGATAAAATGGGGTTAGACGGGGGGTGAAAAGCCGCGAAGCGGCTTTTCAACCCTGGTTTTTGATTAATCATCCAGTTCTTCTACGTGTTCGTTGAAAACTTGGGTGCAAAATAACAAACATTAATTTCAGCTCGAGAGCGCCCTAGCCGCAGCTTCGACATCCGCCACTCCAATCTACGAAGAGCCACTCGGTTTCAACCCGGGATCGTTTGAGGCTATTTTGATGAATCAGCACCAGCAGATGAACCCGAATGTGGAGACGGTGAATTTGGATAGTGATGGGGAAGAAGGAAATGGCGGAGAAGTACAGCAGGCTGAGGGCGGTTACCAAGCGCATCGAGAGGTAAGCTATAACCGGAAATTCCAGGAAGATTAACGTATTCTAGCCTCCATCAATCGCTAGAATGAATGCCGCTGCTCCTCCCGTTTCTCAGTCACTTTATAAAACTGCCGTGGAAAGACCTTCGATGGTTGGACAGCCACCTGGGAAATTATATGTTGATATGACTGAGTAAGTGTGATTGAATTTAATAATTTAAGTTAAAGCAACATTCACCTCCCAATTTTATAAAATCGATCCACGCTATAGCAGGCAGGGTCTGTTTCCTAATGCGTGCAGAAGGCGCCTGGGGGAAGAGGGCTTGTCCTGTCGCGATCGCAACGGCCCGTTGGCACATTGGTTTTGTGTTCGCTCGCTGGGCACAAGGCCAGGGTTCGACCCCCGGCCGTGGCAATCGCTTTTTGCTTTTTCATTAAAAACTGGGAGTTGAATGTTTCTTTAACCTGAGCTATCTTTTAAATACTATCCAAAATTTTTAGCCCGCGAGTCATCGCGCGAGCCACTCCACCAAAGCGAAAACACAAGCCAACCCAACAACATTCACCGGGGTAAGCTTTATTTTACGGTATTTTAATTGAGCTTTAGAGCCAAAAGACCGCCGCTCAAGAAGAGAAAAGATGCTGTTGCTCCACTTCCGGAAGTCGTAACCGAATGGACGGTCGATGAAGATGGCCATCACAACATGTGCTTCTGCTGCCAGAACAAGAAGGACACAAATGCGGATCCGGTATGCAAATTTTTTAAGTTTTTGACTCAAAGTTTTAGGGATGTTGCGACAAATGCCCTCGGATCTATCACGCTGAATGTCACATCCCGACGATCAGATGCTCGATGGCCGATTTACCGTATGTATTTTTGTAAATTTTTATACCTATTTTAGTGATGACTGGATCTGTTCTTGGTGTCAACCTGCCGAGCCTACAACCACTTTCCAAGATGACGATTTCACTGAGGATGAGCGATTGGTAGGGAAAAACAGAGAAAATTAGCATGATTTTGTATATTTTAGAATTGCATAAAAGTGCTGCTCGGCTGCTACAAGCGGCCGGATTATGCCAGTATTTTTATCGAGCCTGTGGACCTGGGTACCGAATTGGATTATATTAAGGTAAGGGAAGATAAACAATCGTTTGTAAAATTCGTAAAATTAAATGGAACTTTAGGAAAGGTCTATAAAATAATATTTATAACTAAAAATTCAGCTCGTCGAAAAGCCGGTCGATTTCTCGATGATTGCCGCGATGCTAGACCCGATGGCCCTTGACCAGCTCCAAAATGTCCGAGATTTCATCAACCATATGAATGCCGTCTTCATGAATTGCTCGATTTACAATGAGGTATGCAGATCGTACCTTAAAATGAAGAAACCTCACGTTTTAGGCAAAATCGGCGGTGATGATCGCGTGCAAAGCGGTTTACCAGGATTATCTGGGGTCGGTGAAGAAGTTCCTGCCCGCCTACAAGGAGAAGGTGTTCATGTTTGTGCACTATTATAGGGCTACGGTAAGTGGAAAATTTTAATATTAAAATTTACATATAGATTAAAATATACAATATCGAAATTAAATTAAATTTTTAGAAAAAACATTCCATCCGCTGGCGCATGCTGCTGGGCGACACGTTGAGCGCTCCATTTTACGATGAGCACGACTATGCCCCACATGTGGTTTGTCAAATACAAAATACCAAATTAAAAAATTTGAATTTAGGTCACAACCGGAAATATCAGCCCGCTGAGGGTCAAAATCTCGCTTCCGAACCCGGAAAAACAAATCAAACGCGAGCCGGAAGACTACCCGCCCCCGCAATCGAAGCGTTCCCGTCGCAAGTGATGCCGGTGCTGCTAATTTATTTAGGTCACTCTTGATTTTCTTCATTTCTTATCTTTCAAACAAAATGAATTCCATCTCTGCTTGTGATCCTGATTTCAAGATGCTGGTTTTGTTTTTATCTGAAATCCCAGCGTTGCTATGGTGTTACCCTACAAATTTAGACCCGTGCTAAGTTCAAGCTGATATATCTAGGCTCTACAACGTTTTACAGATCCGTAATGTATACCAAAATGATCTTCACATCAAGACAAACATTTTGGTATATTTTACAGCTTTTTAGGACAGTAGAGAGCTGAGATACAGGCTTTGAAAGCACGCTCTTACCCTATATCCCAATTTTCAAACCATATCTATCGGTTTCCCTACCCTTTCCCGCGCATTTCTGTGAAGTGTTGTGTGTTTTGTAGCTCCCACAATTGTTAGTACTTTAATTTCGCGGTACCCTATAATCTCCATTATTTATGATCTGTGTGCTTTACCCCCCATCATCCCAAAATACCTTCTACGACGAGACCCTTCTCTACTGGTTTTCCCCCCACCCTTCCTGACGGTCCAGACATGTCTGTGTTGTTTGCATCCCTGCGTAGCTTTATTTATCAGTATTAGTTTGATAAATATTTATCATAAATAAATATAAATCCAAAAACAAAAAAAAACAGAATAATAATTTACAGTACCCATTTCCCTGATAAAGTACAAGACGATTTTACAGCATGGTAGCGTCTTGATTTTTCACCGGCAGTTTCGTTTCTTCGAGTACGCTGTGTCTAAATTTGCACCATAGCTTTGGACTTCAAGGGTGCTAGAAAACTAAACCGTGCTCCCGCCACCATACATAGATCCCTATTTTACCTTACAACACCAACTTGTATAGGACGTGTTGAGCACAGGCAGCGAGCAGCAGGAAGAATACGCAGAAATGGAAGATTGCCAGCATGGAGAAGTTCTAAAACATTTTATAAGTGCCGAAATCTGATATAATAGTCATTTTCCCAAATTCCTAATAAACTCCCGAAGCTCCCAAAGCAAGCTTTAGCTAAGCCGAAGGCTAGCCTAAGTCCAAAACCTACCTAAGCTTAAGCCTAAGCCCTAATAATAAGCTTATACCGAACCGAAGCCTAAGCTTACATACCTGTAAAAGAATAAATACAACAATCAAGTTCAAAGGGATCCTGAAGAGATTGATCGTTGTCGAGCGAGTTTCTTCAGGCACGTAGACTCCGCGCAGATACCCCATGGCCGGCCAGAAAATCCCGACGCAGCCCTAGGTTCACTTTAAACGTTAAAATACGTACACATACCTCAAAAATAATAAATGCCATAAAAATGGCAATCGCAGAGGTAGGGAGAATAATTGGGACCGCCAAGCAACCAGCTGCAACCACGAGGACGTACCTGAATTTTTGCTAAAAGTTAATGCTGGGGGAAATACCTCATAAAAGCTTCCGGTCTCTCCTTCTTTGAGATAATCTTGAAAACAGAAGATCCCATCATGGTAGCAACCATAAAGGCGGCAAAGATGTAGCCATGCGGAATTGAGGTATCTTCAGAGGCTTGGGAGAGGGCTGGAGTCCACTCCAAGACAAAGGTATACATGGCTCCTTCGAAGAGGGATTGCACAAGTCCGAGGCAGAGGACTTTTACATCTATAAAATTTCTTAAAGGACTTATATAGGCCTTTCTACCGTTCTTAATCGTATTCGCCGCTTCTTGGAATGAGTGTTGTACGGTAGCCGTCTCATTACCGTAGTTCTCTCCCCAGGTGGTGTAGATGAGGAAGAACATGGCGCAGAGGACGAGGAATGAGAAGTCGAAGGGGGCACTGTTTTTTAAGGCCGAGTACGATACGATATGGTATTACACTTACACGTATCCAAAAATGTCAGCCACAATTTGAGCAGCAATTCCGGAAAGAATAGCGACTACCGAGTTTCCCAGAGCTGCGTTTGAGAATATCGTACCCAGAAGATCATCAGAGTAGCCACGCTTTAAGCAATATACAAAATTAAGGTAAATTATACCTTATTATGCTCATAAACCAACCAACTCTCAAAAGCAGAATAGAGAATACTGGTAGCAATTCCTCCGAGGAAACTAAAAATCGTAATTTGCCTCTAGAAATTGACCTACCGCCCAACCATTAATATATGAATATTATTAAAGTGTTTGGTCATACAGGCCCCACCATATAAAACGGCATACAGTAAGCAATTATTGCGACGGCCGCTTAAAAGAAAGAAAAAATTAATTCTAGGTACAAAACTCACAATTTATCGGCAAATGACCCGACGATAGTACCAAAAAGTAGAGATGACCCAAAACCAGCAATAAATAAAATCTTAAAAATACAAATGCTAGTTGATTTTAATTTATTTTGAGTTTTTACGTTTAAAATAAAAATTTTTACCTCAATTTGATGCTTGGTCATCCCATAGCTATCGTATAAAGCATAAACATGTGGGCCTTGCAGCCAATCACCGGCTAAAATCATTAATTTGCATATTCCGCTTTCAACTTACCAACAGCTAACAAATATACAGCCAAATAGGTCGTTTGGAATTGTTTAAAATTGTTGTCTACTGGGGTTTCGACCTTAAAGAGTTTTTCGATGCAAGTTAAGCCCGAAAATACCTTTGTTTTTGTGTAGTAAAATAATACTGCGCATAATATGCTTAATCCATAGAATATTGGTATAAATATCGCCATGTGTATCTATTTTTTTGAAGGTTTAGACTTTCTAAAATGTAAATTGAGAAAATAAACGAGATCGGAAAGAAAAGAAGGAAAAGGAAGGAAAAATACAGTTCGTGAGTTAGAGAAACAGATGCATTAGGCTTGGCTTAGGCTTGGGATTGGGCATAGACTTAGGCTTGGCTTAGGCTTAGGGTCATTTTTCGGGGCCTGGGCACCAATTTGGGGCTTTTCATAAGCGGAAGAGAGAGAGAGAGAGAGAGAGAGAGAGAGAGAGAGGGAGTGTTTAAGAGAAAGAGTGGGAAAGGGAGGGGTATAGAGAGAAAGAGAGAAAGAGAGAGAGAGAGAGAGAGAGAGAGAGAGAGAGAGAGAAAGAGAGAGAGAAAGAGAGCGAGAGAGAGCGAGAGCGTGAGAGGCTTAGGCTGCGGCTTTTTTGGCCTATTAGGCTTAGGCTTTGCCCTAAGTTCATTTATAACGCTAAAAGCAAAGCTGAAGTCTACGGCCTCGAGACATCAAATGAAGGAAAAAGCTTGCGCATAAAGTTGATAACGTTAGAAAAACCAAGCGCCCTGGCCTATGCTCAGATTTAGGTTTAACCAAATACAGCTATTTCAGTTCCAAAGAGCTCCGTTTTCAAAAATTTATCCAAAGAGCAAAAGATCGGGGAGCAAGAAAAGCCATAGGAGGAAGTTCGTCAAGTAAGAAAATGGAGCGCCCCCCCGGAGGACATGTCTCGATTAGCATCTACGCGATCTTGTGGGCAGCGTCTGAAACTAAAATTCCTTTTTCGAGGAGCGGAGGAAAAGCAGCAGGCGATCGGGCCGTGGCGACCAATTTTTGGTGAAAAGGAATGGGGGGGAGAAGCGGAATCGATTGCATTTATTCATAGGATGGGCGCCCGATACATTGTTGACTTTTCGTCGTATAATAGGTGGCCGAAAAAGGGGCGCCGCTGAATGTATCGAGTGTTTCAAGGCCGTTTCCAGGGTCTAATTTTTTGTTGCCTGTCACACTTTTGCCGTCTTTTGAGCCGTCTTTTGACACGCCACGTACTTGGCAACACAATTTCTGCGTGCGTTCGTCTGTTTGTGCCCATTTATCTGAATTCTTATCTCTCGTGCTCCGCCCAACACTTCGTTTAACACTTTGTGCATCTTTATCGTATAACCTGCCAACCGAAAATTCAATAAATAAACGCTGGAACAGTTCGATTTGATCGAATGTTTATTTTTGTTTGTTCAGAGGGAAATTCAAGTCACGTCTAGACAAAATTTAAAATTGTATATAATTAAAACAGGAATTGTGGGTTCTGGACTGTTAGCGGGGGGTGATTTTTAGCAAATTATAATGCCTTTTTAAAGCATTTTACATAATTTTACTCTCTAAAAATCTTAAAATTTCCCAAAATTTTTGGCTTATCTTCAAAATACATGAAAAACGCCAAAAAAGCTCAAAATTTTCCAAAATCATGAATGATAGAAACTACTAAAAATACTATCAAACATGAATACCAGCAGGTGGAAAACACGAAGAAGACCCCCCGCTAACAGTATAGTCCCTAAATTGTGAATGTATGAAAGAACACGGAATTTTTCAGGGTATGAAAGCATTCTGGAAGTGGAAAATTGGGGAACATAAGTAGAAAAGTAGAATGTTGGGCGGGGGAGGGTTGAAAATTACCGTCGGACGGCGCGGGGGTCACTTACTAACGAGAGCAGGCCAAGGTTACAGCTGAGCACGAGGTCGACCGGGGGGATTCCCCCGGCGAGTTTGGCCTGTTTCCAAGCTTTAACTCCTGCTCGTGCTCAAATTAACATGCCAAAAGGGTCGATATACCAAATTTTGCAACATTTTTCTTAAGATTTTTTTCAAAACGAGCAGTTGCAAAAGCGGCTTGCGTGGCATATCGATCCCTTTGGCTTGCCTACCCTCCCGTTCGGTGAGGGTCCCAAAATAAAAATTTTAATGTGAAATTTGAACGTCAAAAATTAATAATTAAATCTCTACATCGACTTGGTCGCAGGTCTATTCGGATGGCCCATCAGATGAGCCGACATCGAAGGTGATGTGATGCTGAACAGCTGCTACACGCTACTCGTCCCGATTTGGTTTTGCTAGCCGTGATGAGTTTTACCTGAAAAAAAATATATTATGTTATTTGATATCTAAAGTATCCCAACCCAATTTTTCTATAAAAATCCATACCTTGGAGGTTATATACATTAACACCTAAATACACTGTCATTGCCGGGCTCTGGGGGGTGGCTCGCGGCCGGCATCAAGCCGGTCGGCCGGAGTATTACCTGGAAAAATTGGCATAAATTATAGTTTTACAAGCTATAGATATTAAATAGAAGCTATTTAAATGGGTTATACCCGAACTTTTGTGACTGTGATTTAGGAATAGAAAGGAGACAGGGATTCAAATTTTCTAAACGTTTCCGGACACCTAAAAATGGCGTTTTTGGAAAAATTTGCAAAAATAAAATGAACCGCTTATATAGAATTAATTTTGTCCTCTTTTAGAAACTACTGTATCTAAAAAAAAATTGTATTCTATCGGAAGCCCACAGCAGCGGATCGGCCAGAATACAAAAGAATCCTGGAAAGCCCTTCCTATTTAATATTCGTCCCGTCAAACGATTGATTTTGAGCGGAAAGATCCCCGAAAAGTCGTGCGATCGTAGTTTATCGTAGTGTATCGTACTAAAGGGACGATCAGGGTTTTAAAATGCAAAAAATCACTAGTGTGGGTAGAAACAAGCGAAAGATCAGTTTATTTAACAGTAACACCAGCTAAGCTTTTGATTTTTCTAAGAAATTCCCAAATACGTACAATCGTAAGGTAGCGTAGCGTATCGTACTAAAATGATTCTTAGAGTTTCAAAACCGAACTAAAAAATCACCAACTAGCGTAGAAGCCAGGGCAAGGCAGGCGAATGGTTTTTTTGCCCCAGAAATTCCCGGAAAAATCGTAGGACCGTATTTGCCCCAGAATACCGTACTATAAAATCTTTAAGAGTTTCAAAACCCAAAATCCCTATCCAGGGCAGGTTTTCGGATTCAGAAGCGACAAATGGCCGGCCAGCTCCGCGCTGGTGGTGGCCGTTGGGCTCCTCTCTCTACCCCCACCCCTCGGCCTCGGCCGTTCCAGGCCGTGCGAATAGAAAAAACGCCTCAGAAACGCCCCCTAACCCACCCACCAATCCACCAATACCCTAAAAATATAGTTTAAAAACCGAAAATATACTTTAAAAACTTCAAAAATCAAATCGAGTATAAAATTACCTTTCAGATGAGTGGTGATGTGCCCAGGAGGTCTGGAAATTAATTATAATAGTTTAAAATTAAGTTTTAAGAGTTTTACAACCATTTTCAGGTACTATTTGACACTTTCCAGAGGGCTAGGGTGCAAGCTTGCCCTATTCCTGCCCTTTCGTTGCACTTTAGCAGAGACGTCCGCCCGGGGAATGCACTTTTGCGGCGGCTCGCGTTCCCAGGGAACCGGAGGCCCCGAGGAGGGATCAGAGAGCCTAAAAAGATGCACTTTTAGCCGAAAAGGCTGAACCCCCAGCCTAGCCTCATTTTGCACTCTGCTGCACTTTTACGAGAAGTGCAAGGAAACCCGCCCCTGGCTCGCCATTTGGATCGGCGCTTCGGGCGAGGTTGGTGCGCGCATTTTGAGCGTTCCTACCGGCTAGAGCTGCAGCTCCTAGCGATCTAACTATATTGAGCATGAATTCTGGGGTCATGCTCGTTTATCAGCATTCTTACCTGCGTTACGCACGTACTTACTTATTAAAACAGCCTTAGTAAATCATCCCTAAATTCTATTTTTCAATAATTTGCATAATTCCTAGGCAATACTGGAACTCCTAGAGACCGAACGATGTTGAGCATCAAGTTCTGGGAATCATGTTCATTTATACGTATTATTTATAATCATACCTAAGTTATACTTTTTAATGATTTGCATAACCTTAGACTCTCTTACAAAATCGGTGTTAAAACGCTGTAGAAAATTTTACAAACTTCCTTAAAAACATTTTTGGAGCTGAAATTGGGTACCCAACTCGTATTTTTACGAATTTGACGACATTGAAAAAAGACGGCATCTACAAAACAAGACAGAACCTCCGGAGTTTTGCTAGATTGAAACCTTTGTTAGTTTATTTTTTCAATCAAATCCACCCTCCAAGCATGCCCTTTATCTGCCCCCCATCTGCCCTTCACTAACAGTGCATCTACACTTCTCCCAAAAGTCCAATCTGTACCTGGCCTGGAGTCTATGGAGTTCAGATGAACTTTGTGCACTTTTGAAGGATAAGTTGGCCCGGACTTGAGCTAGAATGCCCTTTATCCAGTTTTATCCGAGCTGTGAAAGTTTCTAACATGCTGCTCTATTATTTTTCTATGGAAATTTTGTCGTAATAGCTTTTATTCGACGTGCTGAGATTAAAAACTTAGAAAATATTCTGATTTGAGGGTTTGGAAAGAAACTCGATCCTCTATTTTCGGGATTGGCGGTTTTCTTTTTTCGGGAAGCTTAGGACAAGCCCAAGCCTCAGCCCAAGCTAAGCCAAGCCTAAGCCAAGCCTAAGCCAAGCCCAAGTCAAGCATAAGCCTAAACCTAGACTCTTGAATTTGTCAACCTCGTGTTCATTTTTTCCGGTGTTCGTCTTACGATACTGTGTTAAATAGGAAAACAGAACTAGCTTTTTTCGGGGAATTTTGTCTCCAACACCTCCAGCGAAAACTTTTTAACGTTTTCCTTCTAAAGAACGAATTATCTCGTTCAACTATATCTGAAAAACCACCCCAGCCACCCCAGTTTTTTTTCCAAGATGCCGTCAGCCTGGCTGTTTCAGTGCTAGGGGGCGAAAGGGAGTTTTTTGTGGTGGTGGTGGGGGCCACCCTGTGGAGGGTGAGAGGGGTGAGGGGAGGGTCGTGCCTACATAAAAAGTGCTCCCCTCGGACGAGCGCCCTTCGGAGGGATGCCAGGTACCGGAGCCCAAAAAACTCGCACATTCTAGGTCTCAATCTCTCTTCCCCCGGCGGCGTTCCCTAGATGGAACGCCCCAAACCACGCACTTTTTGCAACGCCCGGCAAAAAGAGCCAGAAAAACCCGGCCGGTGCGAGGCCGTGGGGGGAACACACTTTTTGTTGCTGTCCTCGGATGGATTTGGGGGGATCCAGATGGGGAAAAAGTAGGGGGTAGACAGACGGGGATGGAGTTTCGTGTAGCGGAAATGTCGAAATTACAAAATAGTACGGAAAATGGTGGACTTGCTGTAACTCCTAGGCCTAGGTTGCTTAAAGTTTAAATTAGATTAACACTCGCTAATAGACTGAAATGTATCTAAAATTCTTAATCCAATTAAATTAAAAACAGAGAAATATTGTATTACAAAACGAGGAATTAGAAGCTCCTAAATGATTAATGCTACCAATGCAGGCATAATTAAGAACATTTTGCTACAAAATACGCACTACAGGCTTCTTCGAAATTCTGGTAGTTAAAACAAAACTATTAAAAAGTTATTTAATTCGTTGAAGTGAATATTTTTAATCATATCATTTTAATTTCAAATTTTTCGGAATTTTTCATTGAAATAGTCAAAATAACTTACTTTCCGGCTAAATACTATATATCCGATATAGTTAAATACTATACACTACCCAAAGTAAAGTATGTAGAAGCTAATTTTATGAAACTACAAAAGTTGGGTTGCTACAAGAATAATGTAACCAATTCCATGCAGAATTGAATAACCAAGTACACACTGCAGATTGCTTTTGAAGGTCTCATAAAAGTTAATCCTATTAAACCATTAGACAATTATTTTCATATTTTTAATCTCACAATTTCTACATTTTTTTGTCAAAGTCGTATCCAGTGTCACGCTGCACCCTCGGCTACGCGTCACTCCAAGTGACACTGTCATGGGGAGCCCCCGTGGGAAAGAGCAACCCAAGGGAAAGGACACTTGTGAAATCTTCAATCACGTGGGCTCGCATCTATTTGGACCAGCCGGCTGCCGCAACTTGTCCGCCATCCCCCATACGATGTGCTTTCTTGACCCATGGCTAAATACCTAGCGCCCACCGCCGCTATTGGGTTTGTTTATTTTTCTAAAAACCATTATCAATCTTTTTAGAGCACTGTATTCAACATATTTCGGGCTCAAAAAGACTGATGACGTTCAAACGATCAAGTCCATCGACGAGGCGATACGCCAATTGAATGCTAATGAAAATACGGATGATGCGTTGCGATTTATCTCGAAGTTTGACTTTGGTAAGTTTTAAAAAGTTATAAAAGGTTGGAAAAGGGCTGAGCTAGCTATCTAAGGTTCTATTTCTTTTCAGGAGCACAGCCCGTCTACTTGTCACAACTATCTACGCGTTCGCTCGGAATTCTGGCCGGTCTGGGCTCCGAACTGATCCACAGCTCACGGGTGAACATGCAACGCTGCAAACAAGAGGCCAATGACTACTTATTTCAAAAGATCCTCAAACAGGTAAGTAATAACTTTATTTTAATGAATTTTTCGTTGTTAGGTCAGCCTTGGCCGAGACTGGGACAATGAAGTTGATTGGCTGTCGCGTTCCCCGTGTTCTGAAGATGATTTATCATGCGAGGATTGGCAGGTAAAATCTTATTGTCTATAGATAACGCTTTTTCAGGTATGGAGACCTCCACAAATTGAGCGCTTTTATCGAATATTGTACAAACTTTTCCGGGAAACCGAGGTATACCTTTAGCTGTTTTTAAACCTACGTTTTTCATTTCAGAAAGGCGCCCTCCCAACCCTCAATGTAAATATTGTCGATTTTTTGTACAACGCCTACGCACTTTTTGCGGACAATGTGCCCGAAGTGGCAATGCTCATCTTGAAGATTTTGGGTAACGTCGCCTTGATGGACGTGGTTTATGCAGAACGTATCTTTTCTTCAGGTAAAAACGTCTCTGTAATTCGCCAAAAATGGTTTTAGAATGGTTAATGATTCTCTCTTCACTAGTCACGCATGGAGATACGCTTGAAAAGCGCCTGCTTGCACATAAGGTATCACCAAGCTTTGGAGTTCAACCCGTTTTTATTCAGATTTGCCGCAACGGCTTACATGCTCTTGATACTGTGCCTTATAAGCTTCATTCTGATGTATACGAATTACATGTGAGCCCGGGAAAGATTGAGGTATCTTTTTATTCGACTTAACGAGCCTTGTTTTTAGGTTGACATTGTACTAATACATGGCTTATGTGGAAGTGTATTTTATACATGGCGACAAAAAGACAACAAAAGCGCGTTGATATCGGAATGTTGGCCAAAGGTATGGGTTTTATCTGGAATTTCTGCTTTTCACAGCGTTTTAAAACGTGAAAGTTGAGCTTTTCATTTCAGGACTGGCTTCCTCTCGACATCAACGAGCCAATTCGCATCTTAGGAATCGATTATCCGTCTTTCTTGTTGAATATGTCGGGCTCGGCGGAGAGTTTTCCGGTATAAAACATACCTGTTTCTATAAAAATGTGTTTCAGGCTAGAGCAGAACGATTCGTGAATCGGTTGTCTTCTGCTGGCGTCGGTTGTCGGCCAGTCATCTTCATTTGCCACTCGATGGGCGGGCTACTAGCGAAAAAGATGCTGCTCGAGTCGGAAGAATTGAGAAAGAATACGGTTTGTCATGACGTAGAGGCATTTTACTGCTATTTTTTCAGGTCGGCATCCTTTTCATGGCCACTCCTCATCGTGGCAGCCCCATCGCCGCGTGGAGCGACTATTCTCTCTTCTTGGCACCTTCGGAAGATGTCACTTTCCTGCGTGTGAACAATGAAGTCAACGAGAAGCTGAACAAGGATTTCGAAGGTGTCGCCAAGGACATCTCCGTTATCACCACAATGGTCGAAACGAAAGAATCAGCGTTGATTGGCACAGCAAAAGGTTTGATTGCTTTCAAAACACGTCAAACACCAATTTAGGATTGGTTGTCCCTGCTGAATCGGCTGTTTTCGGTCAAGGTGTGCTCTACCATATTGACGCGGTTAGTTTTTTTTGAAGAATAACGCCTCTTTGTACCTGCCTAACGCAGGGTGTTGCAAAAAAAGTGCCTCCCTCTAGCGGTCCTAGGGTTGTCCGATTTTTACGAGTTTACTGACTATCGCGAGTTCTCGTCAAGCCGAAGAGATATGTCCTGTTCGATTTTCGAAATTCTAGAATTTTACCACCGTTTACTAAGCGTTTTGCGAAACGGGCTGTCTTTCTGATGTTTTTGCTATGAAATTGTGTTTAGAAACAACGTTTGTCAATTTTTGCTACTTTTAGGGCAGCACGTCGGCCGCTTTTTGAAAGTCATTTGACAAAACACAATTCGGATGGAGCTTAAGCCGGTTAAATCTAGTTTTTTTTTGCGGAAAACGCATCTTTTTTTTGCATGGAAAATGTCGAAAATAAAACAGAATTCTGGATTTTCGAGACCGAAGAGAACAGCTCTAGATAGATACCAAAATTGTAAAAATCGGATACTCCTCTGGAACGCTGGGACTTTTTTTGGGTCCCTTTTATTCCGATATGATCCTTATGCCCTTCTTCCAGGTACATCACGAGGTGTGTAAGCCCAGCGAACGATCATCTCCTGCATACCGCGTCATTCTCAACTTTCTCCGCGACTCCATAGCCAGCGCCCGAAAACGAAAACCACCGCCGAACGACAAAACGAACGACCCGCCGAGCAGTCATCTCGACCACTCCATCCCCGTCCATCATTAGTATTTTTGAATTTTTGCATTGTTTGGAAAATTGCAGAGTTTTGTTGTTTGGGAAACTGGTCATTAACAAATGTGCAAATATAGAGCTTTTACGACTAATGGCAGTTTACTGTAACTGAATTGCAATGACAAGCCAATAAGAGCAACATAGAATTTATTCGTGAAAATGCGAAATTCGGAGATCAATGTGGGGGTTGTTCAATAGCATCGTCAAGGGAAATTGCATAGAAGATCATAGGACTATTAAGAAAGCTGCGGTACCCGAAATGACACCCGTTTTTGGAATCGTTCATAGTGTTTTTTAGCGCAGCAGCCACAGCAGCGCAATATATGCTAGTAGAGTGGAGATGATGCTTTCCCTAAAGAAGGGGTATAATTAGGTTGAAAATTTTATTAAAAATGTTTATTTAAATCTACGTTCTAGACACTTACCGCGCGCTTCCTCCAATCGGTACCGATGGATAATCGTTGCAAAGTTGGCCCACACACCAACATAGTTCTATTGTCCGATTGCTGCTCCGCGGGGATAAATGTGGAGGCAGCAATTTGCTAGCCGGCATTTGAGCACAAGATGTGTCTAAAAGTATTTAAATAATTTTAAAAATATAATTATAATAATTTAGGGTTTTACTTTGAGCTTAACTTACCACTTTGGTGGGAAGATTGAGCCCTAGGTGTTGCTCCAAATTTGAAAACGGTAGCAAAACAGCCGCGGATGATGTTGTTTCCGACGTGTTGACCTGAGAAATGAAAAATTACTCTAATTTTGATAGTTTATTTGTATTTCGATGTTCTATTAGCATTCTATTACTTTTCGTAGTTTCTAGACTCTCGCTAATGTTACTATTTTGATTTTTGGGAACATTTGGTTTTAATTTTCACCTTTCCTAGACTTTTAGGTATATTTTGCTTTTCTTATCCTCGATATGGGGTTTTCTTTTTTTATATTTCGGCATTTTTCACTAGTAGAAAAATTTAGAAATGGCCTTTTCCAATCATTTTTAAGTTTAGCAACATTTATTTCTATTTTCGACTTTTAGCTAGGTTCCCAACTCATTTTAGAGCAGCTTTTAGATAGATTGAGATTCTGATTTGGGATATGGGAGTTTACTTTTTATCTTTCCGCTCCTATGAAATTCACAGAAAGGGTTTTTAATTATTTTTAGCTTCCGGAATTTTGTTTGTATTTTCCTTTTTCCTAGACTTTCCTAGATTTCCAGCTTTTGACGAATTAGCGCAAAGTTGCTGTAAAGCCCCCCGAAGCCGCAAAAATACTTCCCCGACGCTTCCCCCCATATCTTAGCCGTTTGAAACCGGAGCCCCGGGTTGTTGCCGTTTACCCTCCCCGGAGGAGAAGACCAGAAGCCCTCGCCCTCCCCCCCCCCTTCCGGAAAATTCCCCTTAACAGAATTTGATTTATTGCCGCACTCACAATATGCCACCCCGGGGCACCAGTGCGGACTTTAGAAAGGAAAGGCCACCCAGCCGGGGCTGTAGAGGACAAAAAGGGAATTCGAAAGATGGCCCGGCTTGGGTCCCGGCTTGTGGGGGACTGTCCCTTGGGACGAGGACCCCGGCCCCGCGCCCCGGAAGACATGATAATTTGTAACCCCCTGACTCAACAAAGCCGCCGACCTCTTGCTCCCCTCAACCCCATCCCTACCACCACGCGCGCGCCCTATCCACAATATTTCATGGCGACAGCTCCCGGGGTTTTGGGGGTAGGAGGAGGACGAGGAGAGCTTGGCCCCTGAGACGATGCTTTTGCTCTTCCTCCCCGTCCCGCCACGGCCTCTGATCCGTGTCTCGTCTGTGAACACGGGGAGTGGGCCCTTCAACGGCGTGAAGCCTTAATAGATTTCGCGCAACAGCGTGGGAAGCAAAAAATGGCCCTCAAAAATCGGGGTCCTGCAAAGGGGCAGGAGGTGTGTAGTGGAATAATGCATTTTGGGTGTGGATGTCTTTAATTGGCGCTAACAAACGAGTCTTACGGCGTTTTTGAAGGGAAAATGACTTTTTAAAGGGCTTTTTGCTCAGCGAACCGGCTTCAGCTAAAAAAAACTGCCACGATCGCTAAGAATAGATGCGCAATTTTTCGTAGTTCATTTTAATCTAATTTCTTTTCCAATGTTTCTATAAAATTTCAAATAAATCGTCATTTATAGCAAAATTGGGAACCTTTTCCGCTTAGAGAGTACGAATTACACCGTTCGTGGGCAGTTCAGCGCGCATAGTAGCGCCGCCTACCGATTTTCCGATCCGTGCCTTTTGGTTAGAGAATGGAATTGCGTGATCCCCACCCCTTGCCTTAAAGGGCACGTTCAGGGACGTTTTTTTGAAAAAAAGCAAAGGTTTGTGCCGCGGCCGGGGGTCGAACCCGGGTCCCCCGCTCGGGAGGCGCGGATGAATACCAGTCAGCCACAGCTACAACCTGGCAAGGGGGCGAGGGGCGCCCCACGCCGCAAAGGAGGGGAATGGCCTGTCACAGCACGGGCAGGCAGTGCGCGCGGTCCCTACGTCCATAGGGTGTACACGTTGGGACGAGTACACGGCCCCTCCCTGAACGTGCGCTTTAAAAGTATAGTTTACCCCCCCCATTTTTTTCGTTCCTTGACCCCTGGGCACGTATTTTTGGTGGGTGAGATCGCAGCCTGTCAATTGATTGATTCGCGGGTGCCCCCGGGGCCGATAATGTGAGGCCCAGCGGGCCCATCAACAGCTCTGGGGTCCCGTTTTATGTGCGAGATTAACGACTTGGCAACCCTATCATTTATCCGGGAATCGCCCTCTCAATCTACGGGACCCCGGGCCGGGCGGTGAAAAATCTTTAGTCGGATAGTACATCTATCAGTATCGGGTGGTGAAGGATTGTGGTGGGATTGTCACGTGTGTTGATGTGGAGGTTGGGTGTTGGCAAAAAGTTAGGGAAGATGGATGAGAGATTGAGTGTCTTTTTTGACTTGCTGATACCTTTAAAAAGTGCAAAACTACCTGGTAAAATAGCGATTTTTTACGCTTTCATTGCTTTTAAAAGGATAAAAATTCCCACCTGCCAGAATCCTCGGCTCGATCACGGTAACACACATCGAGTTTGAGCAGGGCACCATGCCGATGCTCACTTTTGACGGGATGTTATAGCAGTGGTCGGTGAAGTTTAGAGGTCGGTAGTAGATCTAAATTAATTTTATTAAATTTAATTCCTTCATAAGCTTTCTGGTTTTTCAGGCTTATGTTAAACTCCAAGCTCTCCACTTTCCGTGCCAAAAAGTCTAATTGATTTTTTTTGGGTAATTTTAGTTCGCGCTCACAAATGTTTCCAGAAGATCTACCCCACTTCCCGGTCGAAAAAGAAATTGAAATTAATTTTTTTAACAAATTTAGCTCGTGCTCCTGAATTTTTTACTTTTGAACCCCACTTCCCGCTCCAAAAAACGCAACACATTTTTTGCACTGTACTCCCCGGCCAGCTCCCCGTCCACGGTGTTCCATTCTGGACATCCAAAATTAATCTCCCACTCCCCTCCCAGCTGGACCTCCCTCTTTTCTCAAACTGACATGTAATCGGTTATCACCCCTTCGATCGTCCTGTGTTTAGGTCCCAGACCTGATGCTCCTTTCTGGCCCTCTAGCCCTCTTGCTCCCCCCTCTGAAAGTCGCTGAGTGACACATAATTGAGCGCTTCCTGGCGTGTTTTTTAGTGTGGCCCACGGCGGGTAGAGGGGGACGGGGCGCCGAAACCTGAGTTGAGAGAAATCTGAGTGACAGCCAACGAATAGCCGCACATACAACATTCCACCTCAACAACACCCTGGGAAAGATGTTGGTGCTCAACGGGAGGAGGAGGATTGGCAATTAGTCAGTTTTCAGGGGATGGGCGGAGTTGGGGGTTGTGTTTCTTGAGGTGTGCTAATAATGGGAGGGTTTTGAGATGGGCTAAAAAAGGTCAAAAGGTCAAAAATCGACGCCTGACGTTGACTGGGTCTAGACAGCTACGCGCCACTTCGAAATACACCTAGATTTGCGCAAAACTAGCTCCGTTCTATTGAGCTCATGCTCGATTTGGGTAACTTGTTTTTGTCGAGACCTAGTCGAAAGGAGGGTCGAAATCTGGGTTTGTAGCCGTTGAAATCATCTTAAAGGACACGTGAAGGCAAGATTTCGACAATTGTAGACAATTTCCAGACGGCAAAGGAAGCGTGAGGTTTTTAAAGTTAGAAATCGACACTTTTGGCTGTTCTAAAAATTTCGTAAGGTTTCAAAACTCTGCCTTCCAGGTACCTTTGAAGATCAATGCAATTTATCAATATATTTACCTTGATTAACTGGTATTTAGATTTTTTTTGCTAATTGTAAAGGACTCTGCAAGGCAAATTTTCCAAATTTTCGAGGCTAGAAATGATACAGCCAGGTTTTCAAAGCTATAACTCGACTTAGTTGGATTCAGAATTCTACCTGTCAGGTTTCTATGAATACTAATAAATTTTTTCTGAGGATTTAATGTGAGTTCTAAGTTATTCTAAGTAATGGAGCTAATTTTCTGGTCCCCTAAATCAGCTCGCATACTAAATCAATTGGGACCCATTGAGGCCCCCCAAAGCGACCCACTATCATAATCAGCCTCTCCAGCCCATTATTTGGCCCTCCCAAACCGGGGGCCCAGAGTCCCGGCTCCCCCCTGAATTCCCGACCCACTTGAGCCCCGGCACGCGATCTCCATTTTCCAGTTGTATAGGCCCTCCAAATTCAGTCCTCAACCGCCCCGCGAAATCTTTCCCCAATTAGCTCCCGCTTTCCGCGATGAACAACCCCCAATGGGGCCCATCTAACAAAACGGGGCTCCTTGAAAAAACCCTTGGGCTGATCGGAGCTTGTCCTCCTCTAGGAGGTCCTCCTCCTTGAAAATGTTAGCCTAAATTTTCCCCCAACGCACCCCAGCCATAACTTTCTTGAAAAAGACGCGCGGCCAAATTCGTTTCGCGCTCTTCGGGCAAGTTTGAAATCACATCCAGGCGCCAAATTGGATTGAATTCACACAGCAAATCCGCCTCGGCTTATTGGGAGGGGAGGCCCAGGGGGGAGGCCCAGAGGGGGGGAGGAAGAGGGCATTGGGCCGTGTGTGGGTCCAACTCGTCTTTCTGCCTCATGGCTAGACCTCCCCAACTCGAAACCCTGGGATTTACTCCAGACTTGGGATTCAAATTGGCTGAGTTGGATGGTGGGGGTGGGTTAGTTGCTGGCGGGCGGGAGGAGGAAAGCTTAGTGTGAAAAGATGGTGGAAAAGGGCGAGAAGTCGGAATTTTTTTACAGTATGAGAATAAAATTTTTGCATGCTTACCAGGTTTCCAAAAATTACAGTATCCCTAAAAAAAATAGACACTAAAAAATCGTGAAATAAATCAAAATTAGCGTGAAAACGATTTTTAAAAATTTGTTGAAGATACCTTTTTGAATAAGAATTAAACGTATTTTGTTGTCTGAAGGACTACATGAACTTTAAAATTATGGATTCCTAAAAATCGAGAAAATAATGAAAGACAGTCTAGCAAACGACTTTTTCAAAATGATTTTTTTTTTGGTTTTGTAGACCAACGGTTTACTATCTTCTTCGAAACGTTATCAAAATTACAAAAATTGATGATTGATATGCTATGAGACGGTTCAAAATTATTAAAAAAATCTAGGAGCTTGGATTCTTTTTTGCTTTTCCCCCAAAAATTCCGACCATAACCCCAGGCCAAAAATACCACCCCACATGCCCTTAATTAATCCATCACCCATCACCCCTCTTTTCTATACAAAATATTTGCGCGACGATATTCGGTGGAAGAATGTGTCGAGGCAAGGCCAATATCCGGCTGGCGGCCATCTTTGTAAGCCCATCCATCATAGCGCGCGCCCCTCCAAACCGCCATTTACACTTGTGCGCCAAGCCGCGTTCCGAAAGGAAAATGTTCTCGGGTCTGTGCTGCCGTTGCGGGACCCCTTCGGCATGGCATCCCCCCCACCTCTGCCATCCCTATTCAAATTCCTTTCCCCCCGTTCCGGCCATTCATCAAAAAAAGTTGACGGCAATTCGCATCCCGCCCAGCTTTTCTGTCCGCCAACAAACATCGGCCCCTGCAGCTGGGGGGCCCAATTTGAGGAATGGGTACCTAATTTTTGGGAGCAAGAGGAGCAGGAGGAGGACTGGGGCTTTTGAGGGAGTGAAGTTAATGGATTGAATGTATACTTTATATACTTTAGACTGGGAATAGCACTGAAAGATAATTTTACATTTTTTGGACGACTTGGACTTTCAGAGCGCGGATTTAATGGATTGAGTGTGAGCCTCGTGCTTCAATTCGTGCTCCAAATTTTGGCCAAAAATTAAAAGATGGGGAATTTGGTGAATTAAATTTTCTGCCATTGGCAAAACTAAATTAAACCTAGACGGAAGTCCGGCACGTATCTTTTCATTTCAAGAGGACTGTGTGGCGTTGAGTAACTACTGGGAGGAGCTCGAGCCCTTGCTCCATCCGCTTAGACGGGAAATTACGCATGTAATTTTTTAGGGGCCTGGCTTTCCAAGAACTTTAGAATTTACAGACCGGACTTGCAGAAAAAAATACGATTTTACATTTTTTACTTAGGAATTTTGGCTTTTCAGGAGCAAAAGTCAATGGATCAAATCTATACTTTCTGTAAATTTTACCCGAAAATTTAGCGCAGTGCTCTCAATCGACAAAAAAAAATCTAAACAGTTTATACTTAAGCCCGCATCCAAAGCACAAATTTTACGATTTTTTTTTGATTTTTCTACGAAAGTCGGCTCATTTGAGTAACACAAGTTAATGGAGGTAAAATCTATATTTTTTTCTATATACTATCTACACCGGAAATCCAGCGTGCGATATTTTCAATTTGGCCGCCCGGGCCCTTGGCGGCATTCGGCAAACACAATTGTCCCCCCTTGGGGTCGTGTTTTGAGGAAGGAGACGGAGGTAGTGAAGAAGCCACAAAAAGAGGACGAGGAGGACCAGGGGAACGTCCAAAATTCGCAGAGCAGATGCCGCGCCGAGGCTACGGGACCCTGGAGTCACACTATGGTGTTCGGGGAGGGGGAGAAAAGGAGATTTTTCGGGAGAAAAAAGATTTCTTAAAACGCCCACCTCATCCAAATATGCCCAGTGAACGAGAAACGACTCGGACATGCAGCTGTAGCAATATTTCGACGACATGCTGTGTTGGCTAAATTTTTTATGTAAATTAGGCTTAGGATTAGGCCCCGCTTAGGCTTCGCTTAGACTTAGGCTTAGCTTAGGCTTCGCGTAGGTTTAGGCCCGGGCTTAGTTTTCGCTTAGGTTGGGCTTAGCCTTAGGCTTAAAGCTAGGCTTAGCTTAGGTTGGGGCATACCTGTAATCTGCGATATAGTCCGGTGACGCGGCTACCCGTAATGCCATCTCAGCCAGGAGGAAAATGAGGGGAAATATTGCGTGCAGGGTGGCTGCTGGAAATGAGATTTAAATACAGAGTAATCCATTAAATATAGATTAATGTAATCTTAAATCTTTTCTAAAAATAGACTAAGGACTGTAGTGATTTTAATATATTTTCAAAAAATTGTATCGTTTCATTAGGCGTATTTTTAGGGTTTTCATAAATTTCTCGTGTATCTTCGATAAAAAAATTATATATAGGTTCCATATAAACGCTATTTTATGACAGCTAAATTTATAAAATATTTTAGCAAAGTTTAAAATATCTGACAATATTAAAAATTTGTAAATTTGTAAATTTCCCCTCACATGCTGGGCGGTTCGGCGGGGCGCGCATCAAACGCCCGCCGTCGTCTCGGTCCGTCGGTGGCCAAAAAACAGGGCTGGAAAAATTAAAATAACACTAAATAAATTTAAGAATTTTTTATTTGTTATAAAAACCCTTGAAAAAGGGTACAACGGAAGAAAGAGACCGGAGGGGGAAAATAAGTTGGAGTGGTGCGAGTTGAAAGGCGTGGAAGGCCCTTGGGACGGAAGGGGGGAGGGCCAACACAAGGGGGAGGAGGAGAAGGAGGAGGAGAGGATAGCCCAGCCGGGGATGGGGGGAGGGCGGAGCATCGAAGCCTCATAAAGCTGCCCATCCCCATGATAGAGCCCGGCCACAAAACCAGCAACCACCACATACTTTGAGGAGGTTGAACACACTGGGAAGAGTATGGGAATGTAACATTCCATCACGTAACAATATAAATCGGTTTTTATAGAAAAAAAATTGGAAAAGCTCGGGGTTATCTATTAAAAGCCAGATGTCAATGATTTTAGAAGACTTCAGGTACTAAAAAGGCATGCACCAAACCGAGTTTCTTGCCCGATCGATTTACAAGCAAAAATTCAAGCTAAAAATCCAAAATTAAGAAAAACCGACGATAAACGAATTTTAAATCCGGTTTCCAGCTCAAATAGTCAAATTAGCTTACTTAAAGGCTTAAAAAGGGTTGTATAAAAGCCTATTTTATACGCTTCACGGATTTTGAAAATCAAGCTCAGATTTAATTATGCAAAATTTCAAAAATTGAAGATCTGGAGACCGGAATCCAAGCTTAAAATATTTAAATTAGCGTATTTAGCCGGCAAAAATTTTTTGTTATTTGGTATACTTGGTACGCTCTAAACATGTTCGAATATCTAAAACAACTTTGATTATTTTAAAAACGAAAAACCTTAAAAATCCAACGTCGAAGCCCAAAAATATATATTTTATATTATTTATACCTTTTAAATGGCTGGGTAATTAGACGTATTTTGTAGTTTTTGAGATGCCCGAGAAATAGAAGCACTAGATCGAGCGCTTCCGGGAAACAACTGATTACAATAAACTCCGGTCTTTTTTTGTACTTACGAATTAATGAAAAATAACTTTAAGATTACACTTTCTAGAAAAGACAAATAGAATATAGCTATTCATAAAAACGCGATAAAAACACTGGTGTACTGTAGGGACTCCGCGTTGCACCTAACAACACCGGAAGCAAAGTGATGCAACCACTGAATCACCATAACCACCAAAGTGAACGCGCCAAGCGCCAAACAAGATGAGCATCCTCCTCGCGTTGGCCAGCAGCCTCGTCCTCCTCCTCCTTCTCCCCCTTCTCCTCAGCCTCATCCTCCTCGCCTTCGCCAAGGGGTCATTCTAGCCCTCTTGGAAAGCGAGACCCGGCAGTCGGATTGAGTTTCACAGGGCCTCCGTTTGGCTGGTAGAGCTGGGCTGACTGACTGGCCATGGCCACACAGCCTCCTTCTTCTTGGTCGAGGCTTTTCCTCCCCAGCCCCTTAATTCGTTGAATGAGAGGCTCATTAGACAGCTCGTTTAGGGTATCGTTTGGCCGGGAAGAGGAGCAAGAGCTTTGGAATAACAACCATCACCTGGTTGTCGTTTTGGAGGATGGGAGGGAATGAGGGTGATTAATGGGGAGATGAAGCTGGGGTTGCAGAAAATGTGAAAGAGCAAAGGTAGAGTTTTAAATTAAAGGAACGCGTAAGGCTGGATCTTTATGGACTGGAGATTTCGCAACTTGCCAAGTCGTAGACATACTGTATTCCTTGTGGAAAGTTTATTTTTGTAAATAAAATTTCCTAGTCGCTTTAAAGGGACGCACAAATCGAATGTCATAAACCTAGACATAAGCCTATACCTAAACCCAAAACCAGGTCTCAACCGAATCTGAAGCCTAAGCCAAGCATAGGCCTAATCCTACCCCGAATTCCGATCCCAAGCCTACGCAAAGCATAAACCTAAGCATAAACCTAAGCCTAAGCCGAAACCTATGCCTAAGCTAAGCCCGAGCCTAAGCCCAAGCTCAGGCCCAAGCCCAAACCCAAGCTAGCCTAACTTAAACTTAAGCCAAAACCTGGGCCAAATCCTAAACCCAAGCCTAAGCCTAAGCATCAGCCCAAGTCTTAGCCTAAGCCTACGCCTAGACGTCAGCCACGTTACGCTGAGTCTATAGGAAATCCAAAATCATGCCTTACACGCGCCTTTAAACGACCCAAGATTGACGATTTAAGGATTTTTTGAGATTTTTGTTATCTGTATTAGGCATAAATTGATTTGCATGCAGAAAAACTACAACATCTTTATTCAATCTTGCTCCTCTCCCGTTCCTCGTTGCACTCCCTGACCGCATTCCCAATTTGTTGGAGTACATCCTGTCCCACACGGCAACAGCCACCAAAAACATTAGCCCCTAACGACGAGCACTCCCTCACGAACACCCCCCAATCCACCGGCTTTTCACCGTCGTGACGAGTATAGCTGAAAGTTGAGCTCGTTTCAATTAGCGGGATCCCCGCTAGGCAGAGGGGATCACCACTCACCACTTGGCTTTTTCATCCCACATCTCGCCCGAGTTAGGATAGACGAATATCGGGATTGGGATGGTGGTGGCCTCAATTTGACGGAGAAGTTCTGGAATGAAGGAGAATTTGGTTGATAGTTCCTGTATAAGGGATTTCACTGGCTCCGTCCTATCGTTCTCTTTATCTCTTTCTCGCTCTCGCTCTCTCCCCCTCTCTCTCTCTCCTCTCTCTTTATCTCTCTCTAGCTCTCTCTCTCTATATCTGTCTTTCTCTCATTCTCTCACGCTCTCTCTCTATCTCGCTCTCGCTTTCACGCTCGCTCACACTCTCTCACTCTCTCACACTCTCTCTCTCTCTCTCTCTCTATCCCTCTATCTCTCCTAACTACCGTAACTCTCTCCGTAACTCCCACTTTCTCGTTTTCTCCAGCTCTCTCGCTCTCGCTCCCGCTCGCCCTCTCTCTATATCTCTCTCTTTCTCCCCACCTGGCACGTATTCCGGTGCAGTACAATTTATCCCAACACCGACAACGTATTCAGATCTCAACACCGATTTCACTGCACGGGCCAATGGCGTTCCGTTGCGCAACTCTGTACCGTTCTAAACGTATTAAAGATAACATATACCATACCACACATACCCGACAAGAAAAGCTGATAACAGCGGGAATTTTCAGCTCCTCAATCGTCTCGACAAAAATTTTCGCTTCAAGCTCTGCAGGGACAGTTTCATACAGTATAACCCGGATTCCAGCTTCTATCAGCAATGAGATTTGCTTCTTCTGATAGTCAGCGATTTTCTAAGCCAAAAAGCAGTTTGTATAATGTTTTGAGGCTCACCTTCACATGCTCAGGCTCAAATATGTAATTCCCGTGATATTCGGAGGCATCGCGGAGACAGACCCCATACGGTCCTATCGATCCGAGCACAAGTGCCTTGTCATACACGTCAAAGGCTAGCCGACACGGGTCCTGGACAGAGATACAATTTCGGCCACTTAATGCCCATCAAAGCCTACCGTAACCAGATTAGTGGCTGGGGGCTCGATTAGGCCGTCGGAAACGCATTTCCGAATTAGTGCCTGGGCAGCGTGGTATGTGTTTGTGGAAACTATATCGCAGCCGAGGGAACGGAATCTTAAATTTGAAATATAAATTAAGTAAATTGAATATAAAACTATTAATTCTTAATAAATATATTATGCAAATTTGAAGATATTTTGTGCCAATTTACAAATTTTTAGCATATTTATTACCTTTCATAGACACGCTCCGTTTGTTCATTGCTAGCACCGCTCGTCCATAATGGATGTACCTATTAAAAATTTATACCTAGTGAATTTAGCTCATCATTGATAATTTATATATTAATATACTACATAGTTATATAAAATTTACATTTATATTCATTTTACAATTATATCGTTGATGAGCTAATAATTAACCTCCAAAAAATACCTCCGCATCAAATCCCTCATCGAGCAACATTTGATAAAATGAACCATCAAAAAGATACAACTTTTCCCGATCGATATTTTCCATTTAGCCAATATTGAGCACTTTCCAATCGAAAAATAAAATTCTCTCAAATTTTTGATAACGCCGCCAAATTCGAAACCTGGAGTTTGTGCCCGGATTGCCCTCCCGACCAGATGTCAGCAATTGATACCTTATTACACGTAAGCCGTTTATTCAAAACAAATAAATTAATTAGCACATCAAATTAACTAAAATTTGAACTCCATCACTTTTTTGAACATCTTTTTGAATTGAGATATTCGGTTTGAGGGGAACAACTTGGCGACCGTCATCTCCAACAAGCTGCCCACTCTGCGGAATCGGCGGGTCGCCTGAAATAGCAAAAATTGTTGCTAATTTAGATAATGAAAAATGTGATGCAAGTAGTAAATGATAAAATGATAAATTAACGACTAAACGAGAAATTACTTACCCCAAGTGGTAGCACAGTATTGTCCATCGTTGGGTGGACTTGCATATAGGAAACGTTGAGGGTGAGTACTTGATTTTTGATCTTGCCGAGTTCAATCATGTTTAACCCTGAAAATGGGATTTAAATTTGGATATTTGCATAATTTGCTAAATCTGCATACCGCCGATAAAAGAAAGAAAAGAGGAAGAGTTAGCTCAAAAAATAGCAGGCGTATAGAAATTAAACAAGAACAGAAAAGACTTCTATTTTTCAATTTCGTATTACACGATTCCGATGCTAATTATACAAAAATATCAATATGCTAATTACCTTCGTTACTCGTCGATAATATGGCGGCCTCTGGCGGGAAAGTATTTGGTTTTAGCGTGATAAACCCGTGCATCACCCGAGAATCGTCTCCCACCCAGGAAACGCTTCTAAAATAATTTAAGAATTCATAAAATTATAAATATTCAAATTACGTTAAATTCAAAGAAGGCGGTCCGAACATTGGCGTCTCTGCTGGCCAAACCTCCAAAATCTCCTCGTATTCACTGGCATAAAAGTCTACAGGGTATCGTAGTCCTTTGGCTGCCTAAATTTGCATATTACATTAGGTTTTAGGAAAAATACATAATTTTTTTGAGGATCCAGACCTTTATAAATAATAAATAAGACCTGTGAATACCATTTTCCGATCATAAATTGCAGCGGTTCGAGGGCTGGCGGCAGCGGCACTTCCGGAAGTACTAAAAATTTACATACAAAATTTCGAGCCAAAAATTCGATACCTTGACTAACATCAGGCACGCACAGCTTGCACGTCACCGCACAATTTACCTCGAAAATTGAATTTTTCACCAGGGCCCCAAATCGTGCATTTTTAAGATAATTGAATTTTTTAAGATTTTGTTAGTTCGAAAATTCCCGAAAACATCCCCTCATGCTACCTATATTCAGTGTAGCCATCGTGGACTGCCAATTCTCAGGCTGATTTTGGGGGAAGTTGGACAGTAAAAATTACCTCAAAGAAGTTTGTCTGGGCGAGCACCGCGTTGCATTTACCCTCCATCGCCCAGCGGTCACAACTTTTGTAGACGTCGCGACACTTGCCTAAATCGTCGCTTTTTAAGCATTTGAACTGTATTTTTTCAGAAATTTTATGACCTACACTTTCAGTTATATGAACAATAGCGCTAAGCTAAAGTTAATTCAAGTCTGATTTTGCAACGTGACTTTTGAAGCCAAACGTAAAAAAAGGAGATATATCTGCGATAAACTGTAAAAAATAACCAGGGAGGTGCCTTCAAAGCTTTCGGAACCAAAGCCAGCCTTTTTGGGCAAAAAGCAAAACAATTGCTCCCGGTGAGGCTCGAACTCACGACCTTCAGATTATGAGACTGACGCGCTGCCTACTGCGCTACGGAAGCACCCGTGGCATGGCCGTCGGCCGGGTAGGTGAAAGACTGGGAGAACAAAAAACAAGACAAGCTGAGGTCTGTCACCTCAACCGACATGTTAAGTTAGCAACCAAGTAGCTTAAGCTGCACCTACCGTAGCGCCCTACGGCCAAGTCAAGTCAAGATCATTTCCTTTATTGTAATGATGACATTTCCGTGTTTCCGTTCCGCGTTCATACCCCCGAACATCCTCAGCCCCCCCCCCGATTTTTCAGTTTTTGATATCGTGTGCCAATCCCACGCATCTCAGACCTTTCGGTGCCAATCAATCTCGTCTCGGCTTCACCCTTCCTCTTAACCCCCCGACTTAAAAAAGGGAAATGCCCGGGTGTAGAGGGTGAGGGGGATGTTAAGTTGAGCATCCATAGGAGGCGATGTTTTTGGGATGGAGGGGGATTTCCATTGGCATGTTTGAGCCTCGAAACGATCCGCGGGAGACAGGTTCTGTTGTCATCGAAACTTGCCCCCGGGCTTCTTTGGGGTGCCTTTTGGGTTGGTAGGGCATGTCTTTATGTCTTTGGGGATGGCAGGGGGTAGAGATATAGGGTGGTCAAAGAGGGATAATTGAGTGGGGGTGGGTTTTGTGGATTAGTTGGGTTGAGCGGCACATAACGCGGGAGCTGGATCTGTAGCGGTGCTGATAGGAGCGTAGCGGAGGGTAATCGATTATGAAGGGATCATTAGGAGTTCGGTCTTGACTTTTTAGGGGTTGATGTTATAAAAAATCAGAACCGTGAATATGGGGGAATTTTACTCGATCTTTCTAGACTTTTATATCCTGAGTACGAAACGCTTACGCTACTCTTTCTAGCTTAAGCCTAAACTTAGCCTTGCAACTTAGCTTGCTTTAGATGTTGACTTAAGCTCATGCGCAACTTATCATGACTTAAATTTGTCCTAGGAGCGCGAAGATCTGGTAATCTGGGGCTTAACCTACGAGCAGGCTTAAGTAGGCTTAACCTTGGCGTAGACTTGGTTAGACCAAAGCAAGCTTAGGCTTATTTAGCTTAGCTTGGCTTCTACACTAGCTTCAGGCTGAAAACGTAGTTTGTAGCATCTTATAGTCCAAGTCCACATCCCGAGAAATTGTATTTTTAGCCCAAGTTTTAGTTTTTCCAGTGTAAACTTAGGCTTAAGCTTAGGCTCGCAATTCATTCGATTTTTCAGACCACAACACTATAAAAAACCCACGATGACACCATCTGCCCATCCATCCCTTCTGGCAGAAACAATTCGCCTTCCCGGCCACGCAGCGTCCACCATTTAGACACGGATTCCCCAGACACTGCTCCGCCGTGAACTTCTTCACGAAAAATTGGGCTTCACCTGAAAAAGAGTCAGCTCATGCTCATGGCGCCACTCATCGGATTGGCTTCAGATTCTGTACAGATCGGTCAATGTGCCCCTGGGTTTCTTTTTTAGGGAGGATGGAGGGGAGGAAGGGGGTGGAAGAAAAGGCAGCGATCGGATCTCTATGTTTATAGCACGGTGCCGTCGGGCACAGGGTGGCTGGAATATGGATGGGAAGAAGACCGGGAAAAAAAGGGGGAAAAGGGTTGCCTCCGGTGGATTCGGGGCGATCGAAGCTTTTAGCGTTTTTAGCTGTAATATTACGGTTCTTGGGCAAAAGGTAACGGAAATTGCTAAGAATAATTTAGAATTGATTTTATGAAAAAAGGTCACAAGGATCTGTCGAAACCGTTTGTTCTGCTTGTAAAAAATAGCTGAATTTTTCGGATCTGGAAAAATTATTGATAATTTTTTTAATAGGTTTAAGAGTGTAAAAATCCATTAAAATAAATTAAGGGGACGGAAAGGCATGAAACTATGGCTTTTTTGAACAAATTCTTTTAAATTTATTCAGATCCGCGCACGAAACCCGCACGCCGATTTTATGTTTTGAAACTACGCTAATCGATTACGCATTGAAAGATGTGTGCGCGGCGTGCGCGCTGCACGTCGCGGGCCCGACGAAATTCTTAGAACCAACCAAAAATCCATAGGAAAACCGTTATGACACCTATAGAAGCCTTTTGCGCATTTTGAGACTTTAAAATTTGTTTTAAAGGCGCCGAGAAGCCAGAAAATTATGAAACGGTATCTCAAATCTACAAACAAAGAGAAATTAGAGAACCATAGGTAGCAAAGGTCTAGGGTCAAGTGGATATCACCCTTCCTGAATCACTTACCAAAATCAACAACCTGCAAAACAATAACGAGCAGCCAAAATAATCTTCTACACGCTGAATGCATATCGAGACGGAGGAGGAGGAGGAGTGCGAGCTGGGGAGGGTGACGGGATTGGCAGCGCACTGCCACACTCGATTTACCCGCAGGAATTCCAGCTTCACTAGCGCGCCTCCCAGGCTTTTGCCAATGTTGGATAGGAGGTGGAGGGGGAGGGACCGGGAAGAGAGAGAGCGAGAGTGAGAGAGAGAGAGAGATAGAGACTGTTGGAGAACAGCCTGACTGTCACACAACAACCACCAGGCTCACCCCCTCAAGCCCTACGCCTTACAACTCACAACACGTACCATCGCGGGGGTGGGGAGGCTTACTCCTTTTGAGGGAGGATCAAGCAGTGAAGCGACAGAAAAACATCCCATTATCTGGGGGCCGAATGGCAGAGTAAGCTGGCGCGGGAAGTAGCCGTGGCTTTGAGGTCGGGATTGTAACGGAGTCAGGGAGAGTCAGCTTTTTTTGGTCGTCTGAAATTATGGTTAGAGCATTACGAACACCATTATATCCATGTATGCGAAAGGCTAAAAATATACTTTTGGATGCAAATTTTCAAAACCCAAATCCTATGCAAATTTTTCTGGAAGCTGATCGTAAGTCCGTTGTCCTTCGCACTGATTTAAAGGGCCAGGCAAGGCAAGGCTATGGATTTTAGTTGTAGCTTCCTTATTGCGTAATCCATTACAGTATTTTCCAGGCAAAAACGGCATACGCGTTAGGGATCACGATCCAGAAGTCCGTAGGAAATCCACAGTGATGCTTTGCTGAACCCTTTCATGGCCTAAAAATTATACCTCCGAGGGTCTTTGCGTTCCTGTACCTTAAACAACTAGAAACCGTATCATATTCCATTTTTAAGCAATTCTTGTTACTGCATAAACTCCAGATGCTGCGAATAAGCATTTTTCAGCAATTTTTAAAAATTCTAGCCTAAAAATGATATCTATGAATTTACTTTACGTTTCCGCACCGGTAAATCAGTATAAACCATATCAAATTCTAACTTTAAGTGATTCCAATTAGTTCAAAAAAATTTCAAGTGCGGTCGAAAAACATGCTTGTGAGATTTCCGAAATATCTAGCCATTTTCCAATCTTAAGACGCTTCTACAAATGCTGATCTCTGATACCTCACTCCAAAACCCCTTCCCTGTCCCCAAAATAGAATAAATTCTCATCGAATTCAGTATCGGCAGCTAGCCGAACTCCCTCTAGCGTCGATACTCGTCCAGACCCGGGTTCCGGCCCTGGTTCCCAGATTGCCATTCCGGATTCAAAGTATTTGAAGTCTTGCAAAACCCGCAACACTCCCAAAATTCCTCCCTATTGATCGCTGTACAGTTCTGAACAATTTCCGATCTTTCTAAAATCCTTAAGACTCCCATTAAAACCCATCACATCAACCCATTTGGCATAAAGTGTTGCCTCCTCCCCCCCGAGAAGAGAATGCCACCACACCGTTGGTTGCGGGGGGCTTTTGGGGGTTGGAAAATGGGGGCCGATGGAGACAAAATGTTATGTCTTCGGGACAGCAGGCCGATTGGCACTGATTCATCGGAGGAGGAGGAGCAGGAGAGGAGAGGAGAAGCAGGGGAGAAGGGGGGACGATCGAGGGGCCAGACCCCCGCATTCAAAACGTCCATTCCTCATTTTGTGCCCTCCGATCGTCTCTCTTCGATTTGGATTCCTGATGGGATACGGTAGGTCTAGAAATTCCGAGAATTCTGTATATATTTTGAAACTATTTTGTGCAGTAATCCACTCCGCATCCTGTCGGTATTTTTTACAGTATACCTGTGCAGTTTAATCTAGAATCAACTGTTTTAAGGCACTAGTAAGCCTGGCTTCGGGGTGGAAGCATTAATAGGTTCGCAAAGGTAATTCTAGAAATGTAGGTTTAGGCATTTTTGATACCGTACTACGCATGCTATCCATAACGTGCTATTGTATTCTTTAGTAAATAACGAGTTACTGTACATTTTAAAGAGACTGGTAAGCTTCGGCTAAGCGGTCGATGCACTAATAGGTTAACAAAGGTAATCCTGTACCTACTGCAATATCTTCCCGTTTCCGACAGTAATCCACATCTTTTTGCTACTTTTCTAAAACAGATTTTTTAGTTTATAATAGGGTCTAAGGTTTTAAACGGACTGGTACACTTAGACTGCCTTGTATGCCGACACACTAATAGACTAAAGGTCCTTAAAAAACTCTATATATTTCCGAAAGCTTCAGATTTCAGATTTAAAGACTTCAATTGTTTAAAGCTAAAACTGGCATTTTGGATATATTTGAAAATAAGAACATTGAAGCCTTTTTATCGGTAAACTTCGTCTTAAATTTTCATATTTTTTTTGACTTTATGCCCCCTTCCCACAACACTACCCTGGCCCACCCGCGACTCTGGGATAAAACAAACGTAGTGGTATGACCAATGTCTCCCATAGGTCCACTCGCTTGTTGATCCCCGAACTGCTGCTGGGCCTCCTCGCCCTCCTCAACCTCATGCTCATTCCCGAAAAAGATCCCCCTTGTCCGACCGTCCATCACCTGCCCGTTCCCCGTTCCTCCCTCTTGTCCAGCAAGTTACCCGAGCTCGACTAGTTGTAACTTACACCTCTATAAAAACCAACCAGAGACGGTTCGATTTATCGATTAAAAATAAGGAATGAAAAATCACATCGTTCCTAGTAACGATACCTAATAACAGATAAGCATCACAACATTGAAAATACGCGAAAGACATCATACCAACAAATATTTAGAGGATCTTGTTGAAAAGGAAGACTGGGTGGAGATTGAGCCTGAACTAGCGGATTCGGACAGTTTCCGCTGGGCCTTCTTGTCGTTGCGGATACCGTAACACCACAGGATGGGGAGCATTAATAGGACGGAGATTGAGATGCCGATTGAGAGCCAGAACCACCAATCTGAAAGTTATCAAAATTGGGTAAGCTTTTTTAGGCTTGCATCGAAAGGTACTCTAGTTCAAATGAACACGTAGACCAAATTTGGAAAAACTTTTAAAAATTTGCATTTTTACAGAAAAACTATAAAGTCAAAGCTATAAATTACGATATTTAAAAACAGCTGGTTTCCCGGTAATAATGATTTTGGAAGTTTGCCCATAACGAGCTAATAATCGACGCTCTCTTTCTCTCTCGCTCTCTGTCTCTTCTCGCTCTCTCTCTCTCTCGCTCTCGCTCTCTCTCTCCCTTTCTCCCTCTCTCTCGCTTTCTCCCTTGCTCGCTCTCTCTGTCTCTCTTTCGCTCTCTCTCTCGCTCTCTCTGTTTCTCTCTCTTGGTCGCTCTCGCTCTCTGTCTCTCGCTATCGCTCTCTCGCTCGCTCGTTCTCTCGCTCTCTCGGTCGCTCTCTATCGCTCTCCCGCTCGCTTGTTCTCTCGCTCTCTCGCTCTCTCTCTCTCTCTCTCTCTCTCTCTCTCTCTCCCATCTCAAAATAATCAGTTAGCAAATACAGTGACAACAAACACACGAGTGTCCGTGAAAGAACACAATCCCCCTCTAGCTTTTCCTGGGATTTCCTATCTTCACCCCCTGTGGCTACGAAATCCGTTTCCTTCCCTTTTCTCCCCCACTTACAGTCAAATACAATCGACTCCTCGCAGAACATGCCCGTGTAGCTCGGCTCGCACTCGCAAAATTCCTGTTTTCTCGGCAATTTCCAGCAGCGGCCATGGTTCGAACAGGACTCGTAGCACCATGACGGTGGCACCTGGTATTGAAAGTTTTTTGTAAGTAAGTACGATTCGGAAAAGGTACGATTTTACACTTTTGAAGAATATAGTATTAGATAGAATTTTTGGTGAATTTGTTCTGATGAATGAAAATGTTTTCTACATAATTCTTCCAGTTCGGAATTTTGGCTGTTATGATTTGGCAAAAACAAAGCTTTTAACTAAGATTTTATGCAAAATTTGAATCCTGATACCTGCTACTTTCCAAAGAATTCATCTAAAAAATTTCCTGTTTGGAATTCTTATAGTCTAGCTAATTAAAATGCAAACTTAAAACTCTAAATCTTAAAAACAAGTGTTCGTTACGAACTTTTAGACAAGATTCTTTTTTAATATTTTTTATGCTGCTTTTAAGCTGTTTTAAATTGTCACCATTAACCTATTAAAATTGACAGAAAGATTGGAAATTATAAATATTTCTTATTACACTTCAAGATTGATGTTTTTATTTTTACTTTTGCTTTTGCTACAATTTTACCTAAAAGTTGCATTTCAATTTTTGGGTGATAATTATTAATGTAAATAAATGTAATTCTAGGAAATAAAAAATAATAATTTGTTTCTTACTGTCGACATCTTCCATTTTTTTGTCATCTATTACGCATTAAAACGTAAGTAATTAAAGGAAGCGCTTCCCACACTAAAACAACCCACCAACTTCGGCAACATCTTCTCCAACTTCGATTTAAGCCTCCGTGTCTTATAGCCATCCATACTTCCCTACAGTATCAAAGTGATGCCCTGCCAGGTGTCAACTAATAGCCAATACAAATCCCCTAGTCCGAGATTTTGCAGCAGACCGAAACCACAAAATTGACAACCGGACAGCCGGAGGGGAGAAACGCAAAGGGGGGTAGTGGCCCGTAGCGTCCAAGAGGAAATGGAGTGGCCCCCACGGCGTACATAATTTTTTGGTGGCTAGGGTGGTCTCACTCTCTCTTTCTCTGCTGTAAAACGCAGGTGTCGGCTGTGGAAAAATAGGGGAGGATGGGATGGGGAGTGCCTAAGCACTCAGAAGGATTAGGGGGGGAGAGGATCGTCTATTAGAGGTTCGACACGTGCAACAACTTAGTGGATCGAGAATAGGGTTAGAGTTAAAGGGAGCATCGGCGTGCAAGCATTTTAATTTTAAAAATTGCAAAAATGGCTTTTTCGTGAATTTTAACCTGCAAAAACACGCAAAGTCAATAGCCTAAAATAAGGTAAATTAACATAAAATCAGAAAATAATTCACTTTACTTGTTTTTCAATTTTTAAAAGCAACCCAGCAGTCAAATCTATTTTAGACTCGAGAAACCCCCTTCAAAGTTAATACAAAACTTACAAGTTAATTTTCATCACCTCACCCAATTTTAATGGGATTCGCCAGGTAGTTATAAATATTTTAGGTCCGTTTTCAACAGATTTTTAATCCCTGGTCCCTTTAATAAATGAAAAATATACTATGACAAATACGCCAAAGGTTACAAGTTTTTAAAGGACCATAGAAGGCAGCCGAATGTATTTTAAAGACGTAGGGTCAGCAGGTCCAATCATCTTTTGAGCGCATCTTTGCCCTGCCGGTCTCTTAAAACCGTAAATTACGCAAAAAAATCGCTTATAAAATATTTCAATCAAATATATATTATAAGATTATATAATACCGAAAAATACCGTAACTAAACTCTATAGTACACCCTTTTGTCAACAGAAAAACCCCTGGCATCCACGCTGTTTGTCCAGCGTTAATCTTTCCGAATTGCAATCCGGTCGCGTGCGCATAAACAAGACAAATCAACCTCGACGAATGTTATGACCTTCTTTTTCAAAATAGATTTCTAGCCCTCAAAAACACCAAAAAGCCAACTATAGTTTCTTTTTCCACCCCTACAATATTTTGCAGGAACCAACAAATCCAACGAGCATTGTGGGAGCTCACAAAAGACCAGCATTCCGTCATACAGCCTCTCACACTCAAAAACACGTGCCTTTTTCGGGGTGTGTTCCAAACTGAGTGATCCCCCGATTTGGTCAATACTTGGAAATCATCAATCAGTCATTCCTAGTCTTTTCAGTGGGTTCTCGGCAAGGTATTCTCACTTGGTTTGTAAATAATTTGAAAGGAAAGTTTTCAAATTGGACTTGAAGCGATATTACTAGTCTTTTACTAAAAATAGACGGTTTTTATGCTTTTATATATTTGATACCTGTTCTCTCGTTTCGCGCTCCATCTCGTTCTATTTCTCTCTATCCTACTCTCTAGCTCTCTCTCACTGGCTATCTCTCCCTAACGCTCAAACTCTTAGGCCCTCACTCTCTCCCTCCCTCTCTCTCTCTCTCTCTCTCTCTCTCTCTCTCTCTCTCTCGGTATTTCTCTTGCACTCCGTTTCTCACCCACTCTCTCTCACTCTGTTTCTCACTCCCTCCTTCTCTCCCTCTATCTCTCTCTCCCTCTCTCTCTCTCTCGCTATCTCTCTACCTCGCTTTCTACCTGTTTAATAAATCTCAAGCATTGCGCGTATTTTCTACTTTCCTTTCTCTCTAGCGTAATGTAATTTTTGGAAGCTGAGACGATCGGTGTTAATTGATAAGGCGTGGGGCAGGAATCCCGTCTCGTGGCAATTTTTGACCACTGTCGCGAGCCCCCGAGATACGGATTCCCGCCGCTCGATTTTGGCTATAACCCCCTTCGAAAAAAACACTATTTTTAGACATGGGTTTATTTAGCAGAGAGACGGCAAATGTGATACAGCTTGGCGTCGGGTTTTTCTTTATATTTTTTGCATTTAATGGGCAGGGTAAGTGATGAGGGTCTTAAGGTATCGTGTGATTTTTAGGCTTCATCGAACAGCCCGTAATTAATTCCGTATCGAAAAGAGGTGATGTAAATGAACATGCTGGTTATTACAGGTATATTAAAAGCTTTTAAATTACATAATTAAGTTTTTCAAAAAATTATGTGTTAAATCAAAAACTATATATTTAGTCTCGCAATTATCTATGGCGTTTTTACATTCGCCAATTTTGTGGCTGCTCCTATCGTTAATACCATATCCGCAAAATGGGCTATGGTGCTGGGAGGGGCATTTTATGCGGCTTTTCAGGTTGGAATCATGTCATTTTTTATACAAATTTCAGGCCGGATTTTTGAAAGTTAACCAAACTTATTTATACGTATCGAGTGCTGGGCTGGGTTTTGGGGCGGCAAGTAGGTTTAAAAATTTAAATTTCTACATTAAGGCTTGTAATTTATCTATTTATAGTATTCTGTCTTATTGATAAACCTTTATACTATTTTATGCAACATTAAAAATCAAACATTTAGTCATCTGGACTGGACAGGGGAATTATCTAGCCAAAAATTGCGATGAGAGGACGAATAGTCGTAATAGTGCAATGTTATGGTCAATTATGGAATCATGGTTTGTATTCTTGGATTTTAAAATTTATTAAATTAAAACAACATTAGCATACATATCTTTAAAAATTATATAAATTATTTTTAGCATCGTTGCCAGTGGAATTTTCCTCTTCGCCGTATTCCACTCAGAAAAGACAACGGATAACATTGCCGATTCTACAGTGCGGCTACTATATATTGTTTTTACAATCTTAAACATTGTCGGATTAGTAATTATCGGATTGCTGCGTACTCCAACGTTACGAGTGGAAGATGTGGATAAACCCAAAGTTGGATACGCTACATTAATGGGTAAGTTACCTCTAAATGTGCCAAAAAATTCCGTCAGGCTCCACCTTCCGTCTCATGTTCACCAACAAGATGCTCCTCCTTGCGTTAGCATTCGCATACACTGGTATTGAACAGTCGTTTTGGACTGGTGTTTATCCCACGTGTATTTCGTACACATTAAAGGTACATTGAAGGCAAATCCATAGTTCTTTATAGCTTGGTGATAACACAAATTCCATGTTGGCGCTGACGGCAATTTGTGAGGGTCTTGGGCATATTGTTGGTAAGGAAATTTTAATACCGTATACTTTGTAGCCATTATCTTAATTGTTAGCAGTTCAAGCTGCTCAGAACCACTTACAGTAACATTTTTCGTTTTTTTTCAAGCTGAAACGCCCTTTTAAAAAACCCTTTTCGCCCTTTTTGGTCTATTTTGAGAAAATATTATATTTAATTTTGTTTATTTAGCCGGTGGCGCTTTCGGAATCCTTGGAGCTAGAACAAAAAGCTTGAGACGAGATTCCATCGTGCTACTCGGAACGGTCGTGCACTTGATTTGCTTTGCCGGAGTTTATATAAATATTCCGAAAGACGCCCCGATCAAGCAGACAAACGATACGGGAGGGCTCATCGATCCACAGTAAGATCACGATTAAATATACCATTTAAATTTTAGACTTTGGATTGCATTGGTCTGCGGCTTTTTATTAGCGTTCGGAGACGCTTGCTGGAATACACAGATTTATTCATTGCTAGTCGACGTTTATTCGGAAAAGTCGAGCGAGGCGTTTGCGTTGTTTAAGTTTTATCAGGTAATTGATAAATCTTTAGACATCAAAATAAAAAATATTAGGGCAGGCTGGCAGGGATTATCTAGGAAAGCGTCTTAAATTAAAAAATTTATTGCTTTTTCTTCTTTTAACTAATCGTATTAAATAAGTATTTGCGGTACTGGACTGTTAGCGAGGAGCATTTTTGCTTTCCCCTGTGCTGCCTGTTGATAACATAAAATCTATTTTATAATGTTTTTTTAGAATCTTGATTTCTCGAAAGTTATAAAAAAATATTTTCAAAAATCTTGAAAATTCGAAAATTTTGACTTTTCGATCATTTTTCTTGCATTTTTGATGTAGAAACCAAATATTTCTCTAATTTATGATAAACGTTATTATAATTATATAAGCTTTTTGTATTGTTATAATCTAGATAGTCAAATTCAAAAACTTGAAGTTTCGACATTTCTCGCATTTCCTGCAAAAAAGCCCCCCCGTTAACGGCCCAGTACGGTATTTTCCTGATTTTGCCTCTTAATAAGCTAAAAGGATGAAGCGAATCTAAAACATAGTAGCTTATTACAATTTAAAGTATAAAGAAACTTATCTAATATCCCCATTTTTTTCCTTGATCCCCTTATTTGCCCTCTCCCATCACTCCCATTGTCACCCCCTTACAAGGAGATGGTCTCAACTGGGAATCGAATTCGGATTTGAAAATTTGCACACTTATAGAGCTCGACGAGACAAATCGATTGGTGTAACTTTCAGCTGCTGATACAATAACCACGCCGAGTTATAAGCATTTTAAGTTTTGCATACATTTTGCAATTTTTCGGCCATAGCTTCATAGGCCTTCCCCGCCTCCCCCTCACCATGGTCTGGTGGCCTAGTGGTGTAGTAGGCGGCCTGCGGGGAATCTAACGAGGGTTCGAACCCGCTCACGTTTTTTATTTTTTTGCTTTTTTGTCCGATGGTTCCTCTTTGCTTTCTGAAGACCTTGAATAGCTTTTTACGCATTATTTTAACTCCTCTGGTGCGAAATGGCTAAAAAACATCTGTTTGAAAAAATTTAGATTTTTTACCCGAAAGGACTATGCCGGTCCCAAAATAAATTGAAAATTCAAAGCATATCAAAAATCGTGGAGTAAACGTAATTTTGGTAAATGGTGTGTTATCCGAACAAAAACTTTCATCCGCGAAATTTTTTTGGAAATGGTAGTCATAGGTCGGACAAGGGCTCGATGCCCAGCAAGAAAAATTTTTGCGGTGAAGTTCGATGTTGTCGGCGCATCAAAGGTGTTAAAATAATGCGTAAAAAGCTATTCAAGGTCTTCAGAAAGCAAAGAGGAACCATCGGACAAAAAAGCAAAAAATAAAAAACGTGAGCGGGTTCGAACCCTCGTTAGATTCCCCGCAGGCCGCCTACTACACCACTAGGCCACCAGACCATGGTGAGGGGGAGGCGGGGAAGGCCTATGAAGCTATGGCCGAAAAATTGCAAAATGTATGCAAAACTTAAAATGCTTATAACTCGGCGTGGTTATTGTATCAGCAGCTGAAAGTTACACCAATCGATTTGTCTCGTCGAGCTCTATAAGTGTGCAAATTTTCAAATCCGAATTCGATTCCCAGCTGAGACCATCTCCTTGTTAGCTTCCGGGGGCAGCCCCGACAGCTCTTGGTTGACCTGTCACTCATCCCATACTCGGTACCACGCACAAAGACTAATACGGTGACCTGTTGCATAATCAAGGCGGCGCGTTGTCTTTCGAAAGTTGGCCCCAAGGTCTGTAAGGAGGAGGGGCAGAGATGGTTTGGGGGATGCCGCTGGTTGGCACCATATAACAGATCTGCCCCGGATGGATCATCATCATGATCTATCCAGGTGGGGGGTAAAAACGGGGGTTAACGGGGTGACACGTGTTTGAATTTGCATAGGGAGAGAGAGAAAGAGAGCGAGAGAGAGAGAGAGAGTGAGAGAGTGAGAGAGGAGGGAGAGAGAGTAAGAGAGCGAGAGAGATCGAGTGAGAGAGAGTGAGAGAGGGAGGGAGAGAGAGTAAGAGAGAAGGAGTGCGAGAGAGTGAGAGAGGGAGGGACTCGATATTCCGTAGGACCACTTTATAAAAAATTCTTTTTCGAGGAATTTCTTAAAAAGTTTACATATGCATTTTCGAAAATTCCTTTTTCGAAAACCTGTTTTCGAAAGTAATTTTTTCGAAATTTATATTTTCGAAAATTGCTCTTCCAAAAATGATAATTTCGAAAAAGTTTGCCCAATCAGCAGGAGTAATCGACGTTAAATGTTCGAAAAAGGAATTCAAATTTTCAAAACTTGGAACTTTAAAAAAATTTCGCAAAAATAATCGTCTGTTTTTGGAAATCTCACACGACCGAATCCATCAGAATCCACGGTCGCACCTTCTCGGCTCCTTTAAAAATATTAGGAAGCGAGAAATCGACGGCTGACGACTTTTAGCAACCCGCCAATCCCGCGTTTGACCCATATTTTATACACCAATTTAGTCGGCCCTATCCTGCGCTGCATTCTTCTACGGATCGGCCCTCCAACTCCAGTGGCATTTGGCCATTCTCGTCGTGATGAGCCTGTTCGCTACAATAGCCTTCTTCGCCGTCGAGCGCCAAAATCCACAGCAATCATCATCCAGTGGTGTGCTCGAAATCACCTCCGACAAGAGTGGTATTTTCAACACACTCTTTAAAAACCTTAATCTTTTTTAGCGGCAGCCGACAACCTAGGCGCCGATCTGGACGACAAATTCTGAGCTTATTCTGGGCATATTTGTACAGTAACCGGATCGGAAGCAATAAATCTAGAAAATCTTAAAGGGGCCGCCGCCGCCCGCGGCTTTTCCTTTATTTATGTTCCGGTATATTGTGGCAACTGTATTCACACACTGGGAGGGCGAGAATCGGGTAGTATCTGGCTCTCTTTATCTCTCTCACTCTCTCTCTCTCTCCCAGGATGTCCAGGGCATGTTTGCCAACATGGGTCTTCCCCCTATTCTTCAAAGCATACCGCGCTAATCCACTCGGGACCTCTCCTTATTGGGGAGGACCACCGTAAGACGACACTCCCCATCCACACACCGCTCATCCCCAAATTGAGCATCTTTGGCGGACGACCGGATTATCGCGGAACGCTTGCCGATTGGCTGGCAATTACGAGTAAACGCCCCGCCATAAGGGGCTTCACTTTTCAAACGCAGGGAGCCGCTAAGTGGGGTGGTTGACTGTTGTTTTGGGGGCATGATGGGTGAGGTAATTGTCGGTTACTGGGCTCGGGAGTGTAAGCGGCTTCCTGTGAAGATAGTTGGAAGCCATTTAGGGGATTATCGCTGCTTGGGGTGAGAGGAATGTGATGGGTGGGCACTGTAATTTGGGCGGCTTTCGGGGAGAGTTTGGCTTCTTAGAAACCGGAAACAAAGACCTGCTGTATTTTTTTACATTAAAAGATCATGCATATTGATTTTTGAAATTCTGGGTTAGCGATACCTTAGGAATCCTTGATCCTTACCGTTACATGCCCCTTAAAAATTGAAATTACAACGATATAGCGGAACCTAAGAATGTTGCTGTGGTTACTTTACTTTATTTAAGGAAACATCCAATTCCGAGCTTTTGATGAAAAAGCAAAAAGGTTCGTCACGGGCGGGGGTCGAACCCGGGCCTTGTGAGCGGCAAACTACCGCAAAACCAATCGGCCAAGGGGGCGATAGGATCTGGACGGGGCAGACCCTCTTCCCCCCACCGATTTTATGAAATTGTGCGGGGTGAATGTTTCCTTAAGGCACTATGGTGCATATACAAGCGTATTTTTAAGGCTTTCCATTTTTACTGTATTGTTTCTCCCTTTAGTGTGCTTTTATACGAACCAGGAATAGGGCTTATATAAGGGGATTTAGCAGATAAACCTCTCCTTAGTGCATGGTTATGTAACCACATTAATAAGTCACCCACTTACCCTACCCATTATTTCCCGCATTACTTACCCGAGTTAATCAAGCTTGAGCAGTGATTACCCAGAGGTACTCGACTTCCCCCTTCCACTCCACCCCGGAACTGCCATTCGATCCGGTCGACTCAGCTAATTGGGCGGATTTGGTGGGTTTGGTGGTGTTGTTGGTATTGGGGTGGAGTCCTTCCCTCTCCCACTCCGTGTGAGAATGCGTTTCCTGCAGGTGTGTGCAATTAGGGCCAGAGTGGGCCCCCTCCTGCTCCACTCCTTCCTGACACCCCAATTCCAACATAATAGACAAACGGATATCCTCACTCTCTTGATCTCTCTCTCTCTCTCTCTCTCTCTCTCTCTCTCACTCTCTCTCTCTCTCCTATTGCGTTGTGGCCAGCTCCCCCAAATTGCGTAATTACTTATTAAAACTTGAGAACTTGATTAGCACCCCCGTATGCTAAGCTCGCTGGTTATGCACTACCCTAATCCCCCTGAGTTACCCCATATTATCCAGCATAACGGCCCAATTAACCGGAGCACCATCATCACCCCAAACAAATCTCCCTAATCCTACACCTTAATAAGAGGTGTGGTGAAGGGTCAAACAGCTGGAGATACCGGCTTGTTGAGCTATCTATGTTTTCCCTCCTCGGAGCTTGAGAATGGTAGGAAAAGGCGCATTCCCACGCTTCGTTTTGCGGCCTATTGGGCATTTTTTAGGAAGCGTCGGGTGGCAAATTCGAAACTCGTTTCCGGGGGGCTTAGCGCGATATTAGCCGATTTTACTAAAAGATTTTACTTAACTTTATTTCATACCGTAATAAGTAGTATGGTGAAGGGTCAAACAGCTTGTGAACATACCGTCTTGTCGAAGAATTCGTCGAGATACTTGTTTTTCTTTCTTTTGAGCCTTAGCCTAGCAGGGGAAAGCGAATCCCACGGTCCCTTTTGTGTCCCTATTGTGGGTTTTTTTAGGAATCTGCGGATGGCAAATTGAAAACTCGTTTCCGGTGGCTTATAGACGGCAACTCACAAATTTTACCTGAGAATTTGTTGCCGGTTTTTTGGAGCTTTGGGTTTAGAGTAATGACGAAATCGCAAGCCGGGGATTCGGCGCGGGCTATGAAGTTTCTGGGTGTTTTTGGGTCGTTTCTGACTACGTTACACGCCAACTGACGGTTAGCCTGTAACGGTGTACATCTTGGAGTCGTAGCTTTGGCTTTCGTAGTATTTTTATGCTAATTAAGCGCATTAAAGGAACCTGGAATACAGGCACTTTCTGTTATGATTCTCGGCTGGCTTTAAAGATGTTCTTGGCTTCTCAGCCCCTTTAACTAGCCAGATTTCAGTCTTATACTTTGCAGGTATCTTATTCCTCCATTTTCTCGAGATTTACCAAGCTACCCTAATTTGCATCCACCTTATTGCTTCCAATCAACCCCTCTAACCTCCACTCATTAAGCCCGTTTTTCGCCATAAATCTTTATGTGACGGGGTGGTTGGTCGAGACAGAGAGAGAGAGAGAGCGAAAGACACGACCCCCATTTTCTACTCATTACGTGCCATGTGGGGGATGATGATGGGCGGAGCTGGAAGCTGGAAGATGGCCCAAAGAGGGAAGGTAGTCCCTAGTCTCTTTGGCTAGGGCGTGGCCATGGTGCCACCCGTTCCCACCCTCTAGCTACACCCTCCCCCCACAGTCATCCTCCGAAACACTACGCATTGCTTCACTCATTCTGTCCCTGCAGATCTCGCACCCAGCCTACTTATCCGGCACCTGCCTCCCACTGCTTGTCGCGACAAGACAATTTGCATAGCTCGAGCTGAATTTCGGTGAAGTCGATCGAATGGTAGGTTATTTTTGGGACTTAGAAGATGACTGTAGTTTCGTAATGTTTCGAATAACTCTAGTTTCCTAAGAGTGTTTTTCATTTTATTTTGCATTACTTGTATGTATTAGATGCACATTTATTTTAAGCTAGTTAAGGTTGCTTCCGTGGTCAAGCGTTATTAGAAGGGGTTGACTTGACTGACTTGGTTTTCAAGATTTTAGCTTTGATATTTTTACAGCGTGCATGTTAAGTATATTTTTTATAGTTTCAAACGCTTTTTGGTTTCAAGGATACTTTTGAAAAGCAGATGCCATAACTTTTACGTCATTAGGTGTATTTTGTACTCTTGACATTTACACAAACAGAAGATTTGCATAGAATATAGCTTTCTAAGCTTGGAAATCTTAGCTAAACTACAATGAGGTTTTTATACTATAAGTCTTTTTCCAGATTTTCGCCACCGTCGTCTCCGAAGGCGGCTTCCCCCATTTTTCGCCCCTCCGCCCGAGCACCTCCCACTTTGCCTACGACGGCAAGAAGCGCGACTCCGTTTACGAAATCTCGCCCTGCCACCCTGTATCGTCGCGGGAGCCCGACAATGGTGAATTCTTTTGAATTTCGTAAGACAATTAGGCCCGAGCCTGGGGGGAACCGGTTTTAATGTCCTGGGGAAGGGTTGCGGGGAGGGTGGGGTACTGTAACTGACACCTCTACTCGGGGTGGAGATTAATTGCGCGTTTTTTTGAGTCGCAATGCTTAGGCACTTTATTGAACTGCTCTTGAAAATGAGGTCATTTCTGGAGGGAGACACTGCCATTCAAATGATTTTCGAAAGTCCGATTCGCATTTTTGGAGCGTTTTAAATTTGTAACAATACTTTGCACTCTTATTTTTAATTAATGTAATTTACCTATTTTCTAAATTCTGAATCGGACTTAAAACGAGGTCTTACACATTGTGGGGGTTTTCAAATTACGATAAAAAATGGGACTTGAATTTTTAGGGCGGTTTTAATTGAAAAAACAATATTTTCAAAACGTTTTCTGTATTTTCTATATACAATCTAATACTTTGAAATAACTTGATATAAATATCTATGCAAATTTCGACCTTTCCAACCCTATTTTCCCGAAAAAGACTGTTGCCGACCCACCAACCACTCGATCCATTTTGTTGTTTCCCGAGTACCTCATTGCATAATGGCAAGCGTGAAACCCCGAAGTACCCTCTCCTATAGCCCCGATCATCTGTAGCACCCTTCAGAATCCGGGGATGCGCATTGTGGGCCCTTTGAAGTAATGGCCCCAGTTAGCCGATTGGCCCGTAGCCCCAGTATGGTGGGGGGCGGGTTGGCCTTTGATGAGAGAGGTTAGGTGGCCAATGAGTAACACTTGGGTGAGGAGTGCGTCTCTTTGGGCTATATACTGCTTCAAGAGGTTTGGGGTATTCAGCTATACAGTGGCCTTGGATAGGGCCCATTTAAGGGGCAGTGGGGTGGTGCTCTCTATTTCCGTTAGAGCCTGGGAGGGGATAATTTGTTTACGGACTTGCTAATGTGGTTTTAAAAGGTTTATTAAGCCAAGGACTTTGCCTATATATAAGAGCTATCTAGCATATATACTGTAAGTCGGATTAATATGCTAATTAGGATTCAAAGTCTACCCTAAATCTGTTTTTGCTTGAAGTTTTGCGGAAATTAGGGTCCTGATTCATTAGCGGGGGGGGGGGGGCTTGCAATAGGAATTTCAGGAAAAGTTAAGGCTAATGGTTCTCCCTCCCCCCCGTTAAAAAACTAGAACCGAAACAGCTTAATAAATTTTATGTAAAAATGAAACGAAAAAGTCTATATACTACCGTAATCCCCAAATATTTTTTACTCTTTTTTGCGGTAAATTATCAACCCTCTAAAACCACGTTCCCACCCTCGCTCCAAGAAACAAAGCCCATTCCGCCTAACCCCGAATCCATTAACACCTCC